GCTGGCGGCTGGCGCCGCCGGCGCCGCCGGCACGACGGGCGTTGCGCTGCTCGCCGCCGCTGCCGGCGGGCCCGCATCGGAGCGTGGCGTGGGCGCGCTGCTGGGGTCGCTCGGGGCGGGGGCTGAGCTGGCGGGGGCGGAGGGGCTGCTGTCTGGCGCGGAGTGCGAGGCGGTCGTGCTGGGCGTGGCGCGGGAGGTGCTGTGCTCCGCAGCCAGCCTGAAGGACGCGGCGGTGGACCAGGCGGCGGCCTGCCTGGAGCTGCTGCCGGGGTCCAAGGTGGGGTGTTGTTTAGTTGTGCGAGGGTGGGCTGACTTTGCGTGGGTGTGTGCACGCATGCGTGTGGGGTCGTCGTTGGGTTTTGCTGGAGGTTCGGAATAAGAAGGGTGGGCTAGGCAGCCCTCACGCAGGTTCATAGCAGCTGCCACCTGTCCAGCCCACAGTTTGACAGGGAGGCGCGCTTTGAACTACCTCACCCACCCTCAAGCCTGTGATTGGCCAGCAGCCTCACTCACATGCTGCACCCACCACCACCCAGACCCGCTCCGCGACGCGTCCACACGCTTCACCCCACCCCACCAGGCCGCGCGCCGCGAGCTGGACGCCGTCGCCGCGCTGCGCCGCCTGCCGGAGTTTGGCGTGACCCTCCTGCCGTCACAGCTGAGCGGCATGGACAGGCGGGAACTGCTGCGAGCCCTCACGACAGGCCGCCTGGGCGCCGCGGGGGCGGGCACGGGCGCGGGCGGCGACGCTGCGGGTGTCGCTAAAGAAGGGGCGCGTCCCAAGGTGCTACCTGGCGAGGCTGCCACGCGCGACGGCGGGCCTGGGGGCGTGGGCGTGGCGCCGTGGCGGCGGCTGAGCGACGTGCTGGAGGTGGCGAGACTGCTGGGGCTGGAGAGCAGGGAGACGGAAATGGAGGTGGGGGCGCGTGCAGCCGTGGACCAGCACCTGCATCCCGGGGCCCTGGGTAGTGTTGGCGGGATGCTCATGCGCTCGACGGCTGTGCGCTGCGTGCGTTGGCGGTGACGATGCTTAGCGGCTGCACTGCAGTGCAGCGCTGCCCTTCTTTCTCCGCGACCCGCTGCCGGCCAATCAGCCGCCAACGACCCGCCTTCCGGTCCACAACCCCCAAGGTGCGCCTGCTGGCCGGCGAGATGGCTCTGGCTGCGGGAGAGGTGGCTGTGGCGGAGCACCTGGCGCTCCACCTGGCGGCTGCAGGGCACGCGCCCGCCTGGCGGCTGGCTGCGGCGCTGGCGGCGCCCCACCCCGGGGAGCAGGGGGCGCAGCACGAGCAGCAGATTACAATCACAAAGCAGCGGCAGCAGCAGCAGCAGCAGCAGCAGCAGGGTCAGCAGGAGCAGGAGCAGGAGCAGGAGCAGGAGCAGGAGCAGCAGGTTCAGCAGCAGAAGCAGCAGCAGCAGGAACAGCAGCAGGAGCAGCCGCAACAGCAGCAGCAGGAGCAGCATGTAGAGCAGGAGCAGCATGTAGAGCAGGAGCAGCAAGGGGTGCAGCCGGAGCACCCTGGACAGGTCGAGACTTCAGGGCCAGCACGTCAGCAGGAGAGCAAGGCGGGTGTCGTCGTGCGTCATGGCCGTGGTGATGGCGACTCAGGTCATGGCAGCCCTCGGCCATCTGTTGAGGGCGGGCCTGCCGCAGCCGCCCAGGCGTCCAGTGGCAGCGAGGAGGGCGCGGACGACCAGGCCAGCCAGACTGGGGAGGGGCAGCAGGTCGGTGCGGGCCAGCACCAAGAGGTTTGGGAGGGTGCAACCAAAGAGTCCATCATGACGGTGGCCGCCTCCAGCGTCGGGCAGCCAGGTCCGCTTGCAGCAGAAGCTGGGAGTGAGGAAACGGTAGCAGTGAGTTATGCGGCCGAGCCCGAGCCCCCGGCGACGCCGCTCACTCAGCAGCCATCTGAGCAGCCGCGCTCGCCGGTGGCTTCAGGGCGGGAGGGCTGCTCTGGGGACGCTGCAGGAGCCCAGCAGCAGCATGAGGAGGCCCAGCAGCAGCCGGCAGAAGGACCGCAGCCGGCGGACCAGCAGCAGCAGGGCCAGCAGCAGGACACCGCTGAGGAGCCCATGGCACCTGCGCCCAGTCAGCGTCGCAAGCGCCCGCGACGGCTGCCGCTCCCGAGCCACGCGCCGCAGCCCCCTGCCCGGCGCCCGCACGCCACGGCGGCCGCCATTGCTGACAGCTCCCGCCTGCCGCTTCTGGCGTTTGCGGCCCGCCACTGCCCGCTGGAACAGCTGGGGGTGCTGAGTGATGAACTCCTGGAGTGCCAGGTCAGACTGGATGCGGCCGGCACCTCAGGACAGGGCAGGAGCCGCGCGGGGGAGGAGGCGTCCGGCGCGGCCCGCGGTTTGCCTGCGGTCACTGTGGCCGGGGCGCCGATGCACCGCAGCGAACAGTTGTTTCAAGCGGCCGCGGCTGCTGCGGCCGGCGGGCGCGGCGCGTGCGAGTGCGTGCCAACGCTGGGCGAGCCGGAGCTGCTGCTCGCCGCGCTGGTGGCGGGCGGCAGCGCGGCAGAGGCGGAGTCGCGGCTTTGGGAGGCTGTGAGGAGCGCAGCGGCTGGGGTGGATGCGCAGTTTGGCGCCGAAGTTATAAACAAGCAGAGCAGCATCAGGCGCTCAGTGACGCGGCAAAGCAGCAGCAGCAGCAGCAGCAGCAGCAGCAGCAGCAGCAGCAGCAGCAACGCAGGCGCCCTGAGCTTCAGCCACCTGCAGCGGCTGCTAACAGTCGGCGCGGCATCCCAGCTGCTGCTTGCTCTTGCGCCACATGCGGACGAGGTCGCGCAGGCCCGCTCCACTCTTAACGGAGGGGAGCGCCCCGCGGTTGCGCGGAGGCGGCTGGTGGCAATGCGGGTGTCGGAGATCACTTCTGCAGCACAGCGACTGAGGGCGGCGGGGTCGCTCAGCGGGGCCGAGGCAGCGGCCACCGACGGCGCGGAACGGTGCTGGCAGCGGCTGCGGCATGCGGACGAGAACCGGCGGCTAACAAAGCCTCGGCGGCGTTTGAAGGTGGAGTCTGGGCCAGACCCTGACAAGTCGTTTGAAGGTGATTGAGGGTGCATTGGTGTATGATGGGCCAGGCCGTTGACGCCCTGCGCTCATGTGTGATGCCGGAGGCGGGTTGCTTGCTGGCGCCCATGGAGGCGGTGCTGCTCGCTGCAGCGCGCCGCTCTGCTCATCCCACCTCACCCGCCTCAACACCTCAACACCTCAACCCACCCACCACACTTCCCCCCAGGCGGGGCAACCCAGCAGCCGCCAGACAGCTCGTTGGAGCAAGCCGCGTTTGCAGAGGACACCCCAGCTGTGGTAGAGCACAATGCTGCGGGCAGTCAGCAGCAGCAGCAGCAGCAGCAGCAGCAGCAGAAGGAAGCGCTGCAAGAGGAGCCGGAGGAGCAGCAGCAGCAGCAGCAGCAGCAGCAGCAGCAGCAGCAGCAGCAGAAGGAAGCACGGGAAGCAGAGCCGGAGGAGCAGCAGCAGCAGCAGCAGCAGCAGAAGGAAGCGCTGCAAGAGGAGCTGGAGGAGCAACAGCAGCAGCAAGAGCAGCAGCAGGAGCAGCAGCAGAAGGAAGCGCGGGAAGCGGAGCCGGAGGAGCTGGAGCAGCAGCAGCATGAACAGCAACATCAGCAGGAGTGTAAGCAGCAGCAGCTAGAAGGGAGGCACTCGAAACAGCAGCAGCTGCAGGAGCACGAGGTGGAACAAACACAGGGGCCTGAACTGCAGCACGGGCAAGGGCAGCTGGAGCAACCGGAACGACGGCCTCATGAGCAGCAGCAGGAGCAGCAGCAGGAGCAGCAGCAGGAGCAGCAGCAGGAGCAGCAGGAGCAGCAGGAGCGTCAAGAGCCGCTTCATCACATACAGGATGGGGAGCCAGAGCCTCAGCTGCCGCTGGATGATTACACGCAGGAGGAGGAGCAGGCGGCAGAACAGGCCACCCATGAGATCAGCAAATGGGGAGTCACAATGGCGGAGGAGCGGCAGGCAGTGGGCAGCTCTGAAGCTGGCAGCTTCCAGTCTGGATCTGCGTACGGCGCTGCTCAGACAGCTGCAGCAGGCAGCGGTCCTTGCGCGCACGGCGGCGGCGAGGCCGACGACGGCGACAGCCACGAGGACGCAGGCGTACCCTTGATGGCGGGAGGAGGCGCTGTCTTCACCAGCACCGTGGCTGCCATCAATTGCTTGTTTCCCGACACGCAGGTGTGCTGTGAGTTGTGGTGAACCCAGTTTTCGCGCGTTATGATGGCGATGTGTCTTGCCGTGCCTATTCGTTGGCCAAGACGTCACTGCGGCCGCCTTGAGTAATGCCTCACCTGGCATGCTGCATCTATGAGTGTGCAATACATAAGGTGAGCCTGGGCGCCCTTGCGTGCGGCATTGCACCGCAGGTCAAGCCAGCAGACGTGGCCAGCCCCAGTGCGGCAGAGGCGCTGTTTGCCCGCCTGCTGTGCACGGCTAGCTCCCACGAGCAGCTGGTGGCGCTGCGGTTGCTGCTGACGGACACCTGGAGGGACGGCGAAGAGCTTACATTGCCGGCGCCGCTGCCAGCACAGGAGCTACAGCCACAGCAAGAGCATGAGAATCGCATTAATGGGGAGACACTGGTGGCCCAGCAGCAGGGGCAAGCCCAGCAGCTAGCGGTCTCGTCGCTGCACGCGTGCTGGGCGGCCCTGTTTGGGGCCATGGCAGAGCGGGGTCAGGGCGACATGCTGCTGCAGGCCTTTGACGGGTTCGCTGCCGGCAACTGCAGCAGCAGCAACAGCAGCAACTGCAGGGGTGATCGCGGCGCCAGCTGCAGCAATAGCCCCCAGCGATTCCCGCTGACGGAGCGCGAATGCGAGGCGCTGGTCGCAGCCGCAGAGCTCGCACTGGGCTTGCCCGCTGCCTTGGCTCTGGGCCTGCTTTCACCATACAAGTCACAGCAGAGCGTTGCGGCCGCACGGCTGCGCTGCTGCTCGTTGCCAGCTGGAGATGCGTTTGTGCTCCATCTACTGTGTGCTGCCCTCTTCCGCAGCCGGTTTGTTGGCCTGGCGAGTTCTGGCCCGAGACCATCTTCTGTGTCACTCCTGCCAGAGAGTGCCACAAAGCAGCAGCATTTGCAGCAGCTAGCCTTCAGCCAGGCGTGCGGTCTGCTTCTTGGACTGTTGCCGCTTTGGGATGCCCAGCCAGCAGCAGCTGACGCAGATGCAGCCACAGAGCCACCGGCAGCTAGCGCGGCGTTGCCGGTCGCGCTTGCAGTGGCCCTGAGCAGCGAGGGTGCCGCTGTGCTGCTGCCGCACGCCGTCTGCCAGCTCGTTGATGAGGGGCAGCTTGGCACGGCTGCACAGTTGGCGGCAGTGCGGCTGCGTTTCCACCCCATGCTGTCATCCTTCGGCGGCGCCATGGTGGTGCTCGAGCGATACCTGGGATGCATTTCGCATGCACCGGCGAGCACACGAGCTGCTGGCGGCGGGGACGCTGACAACGGGCTGCAAGCTGCAAACGTTGAGGCCATGCCGCTGCCTGAGTGCTACGCGGCTCTCCAGAGCAGGCTGACGTCTGCGGCGCGGCAGGCATATGAGCGCCTGGCAGCGACAACGCGTGCGGGACCGTGATTGCCACTCGAGCATGTGCGCATTGCTGCGTAATTGCGTGCGAGTGGCGTGGAGCTGTTGCGGTCCATGCTCACGGCTTGCTTGTAAATGGTGACCCGGCTTGGGGATTGCCGTATAGCGATACATGGCGAAGGCAGCACTGCGCTTGCATTGACCATGTTTGACCGGCACGGAGCCAGCGCTTCGTCTTTTCAGGTCCTGCAGAAACCCGGTGTAAATCCTTCAGGAAATATCTGGGAAAAAGAATAGCGCTGGAAGCGGTGCTCGAGCCCTGTGGATTGTCGGTAGGTAGCTCTCAACGCGAACACCATTCAAGGCGGCATGGACAAGCCCAAAGGATCACTTAAGGATCACCTTGCTAGTAGATTTGGAGGCGGTGCGATTGCCAAGCAAGCTGCGAATTTGGTGAGCAAGCACAAGGTCGCAAAAGAACAAGCGGGAAAGCGGTGTGACAGTGCAGTACCATACAACGCGGAATTCGTCTTTCACGATCACCAAGGCGCTCAATTGCATGCGTAGGCTTTGCTGTCGCGAGGCGCCGCGGGGCCCGCCGCTGCGGTTGATGAAGGAGTGCGCTGCATTGCGAGTGACGAGGCGCCCAGCGGCGTTGCAGCAGAGGACGATGCGGCGCTGCTGCAGGAGGCATTCGCAGCCTCCAGCAGCACCGACCTGGAGACGCAGCACCCGAAGCGCGACCACGGCACCGCAGCCCAGCGCCCTGCGCGCCCCGGCGTCCCGAAGCAATCACGGCGGCCTGCTGCCGCGCGGCCCAGGTGCCATCATGGGGTGCCAGCTGCTGCTGCCGCGGCGCAGGCAGCGACAGGTGCCGAAGCGGGCGACAAAGGTGTTGGCGATATGGAGGAGATACTGGGGGTGATGGAGGCGCTGGGCCAGCAGCCAAACGTGGACGCAGGTGCCACCAGCGACAGCAGCGCCCCGCCATCAGCAGAGCGGACCGGTGCGGCGCCTTCAGCATGCAGGGCGCCCAGCCATTCGGCTGAGTCCCCAACGCGGCACGCACGGCAGAAACGGGCTGGTGGGGCAGTGGAACAGTCGCCGAGGGCGGCGGCAGCAGCTGCACTTGGCAGGGACGAGGCTGGTCATGATGCATTTTACCAGGCCTGGCGCGTCAAGCAGCACCGGCCGTTGTCTCCCGACTTCAAATACTCCCAGGCGGCATCAGAGGGCGCCATGGTGCGACTGGCAGGGGGCGGGGGGGGGGGGCTACCGTGATGTGGCGCACGCCTGCTTTGCTGGGCACCAATTAGTCCTACGGGGTGGTGCGCTGGGCTACATTCAAGTGTGACGCCTGTGGTGACTGTGCTGTGCTGCCTCGGCACGCAAGGCCTCGAGCGTTCTTATCTGTCATGGCTCCAGACTCGTCACACGCCCCTGTCCCTGCCCAGGCTCCCGTGAAGCAGCAGCTGTGGAGCTTTGACCCGGCGCACCCCGCCCTGGCGGAGCGCCACTACCTGCGCACAGCCTGCCAGGACGAGGCCCTCAAGAAGATGCAGGCCAAGGAGGAGGCGGACCAGCTGCGGCTGCAGGCGCAGGCGGCGGCGCGCAGCCCGCACCGCCACCAGCCAGCGGCGCCTTGCAGCGGGCCCGCGCGGCTGAGGCCAGGAAGTGCCAGCGCGGCAGCGCGCGCATGGCGACCAGCGTCAGCGGGCGTGGCCAGCTCTCCCAGTGTCACCAGGCAGGGGCCCCTGGCCCCCGCAGGCCTCGAGCAGACATTCCCTGTGAGACATCCAATGTCACCGCAGCGCTCGCCAGCCCGCCGCAGCAGTGCCGGCGGGGACGCCGGCGCCCGCAGCGGCTCGAACGGCGGGTCGGCGCCTGCCGCGTCGGCCATGGTGGCACGGCTGAGGTCTTCGTGCCCTGACATGCAGCACGACGGCACCGGCGGCGCTGTTCATGGCGGCCTGGACGCTGAGGAGCGCGACCATGAATATGAACCGGAGCGCCAGGGCGCGGCCCCGCAAAGCAGCCTGGGCGCGGTGTTTGTTTCTGCAGCGCTGCGGCACGCTGCTGCAGCGCTGGGCGCTGTGTCTGTTGCTCGGCCACATGGTGTTGGGGCGCCCTGGGATCAGCGGCAGCAGGGGCAGCAGGAGAGGCAGGCTGCGGGTGAGGGAGTTTGTCAGGCAGGTTTGGAGGAGGATCAGCAGGACGTGGGGCCGTCTGCCGACGAGAGCGACTCATGTGAGGCTGATGACGACGATCTGCAGCGCAGCTCCCAGGGCGGCGCTCATCAGCATCTTGAATCAGAGGGCAGCGGGGATGAGGAGCGGTGGCAGCAGCAACATTCCCTGCAGCGGGAGCAGCGGCAGGGGCGGCAGCAGCGTGAGCGACCGCGTCAGGGCCGACGCCAAGCTGAGGCCGTCAGCCCAGAGCGCGAGCTGCGGCTGGCGTGCGCGGCGTTTGACCCGGCACGCTTTGACGACTTCAATCGCGAGGTGGACTGCCAGATGGCGCGGCGGCGCCTGCAGGGCCTCGCACGCGCGGCTGCGGCCGCAGAGGCCGCTGTCTCCTCGTCTGCCGCGGCGGCTTCTGCCACACAGGCTTGCACTGCACCCGGCGCGCGGGCAGCCACGCTCGCGCCGGCTGGGCTGCAGAGGGATGACAGCGGCAAACGAGGAGGAGGAGGCAGCGGTGTTGATGACGTCAGCGATGACGAGGCGGCGTTCAAGGCGGGCTACGACTCCGACCTGGAGAGGGAGGCGGCGGCGCGCGAGGCGGCCAAGAGCTCGGGGCAGCGCGCGGCAGAGGCGGCGGAGCGGCGGCGGCGGGCGGCCATGGATGAGGAGGAGGCGCGGCGGGTGGGTTTGATTTGCAGGCTGGGACACGAGCTTGAGAAACATCTGCTGCTGTGTACGAGCTGGATGATGAGCTGAACTGACTGCTGTAGGCCTCATAGCAGCTGTCGCTGTCACTGCCTGAAATGCCACGGCGCTGCGTCACTGCCCTGGGTTGGCTCCCCCCAAACCACTCTTTCCAGGCGCGCTGGCTGGAGGAGAACGCTTGGATGGACGCGTACCGCTCGCACCCCCGCCACACGGCGCCAGGCGCTGCGGCAGCCCCCGGCCCTTGCTCAAGGCGTCCGACGTCGGCAGGTTTGGCGGCAGCAGCGTCGACCGGAGATGAACGTGAGGATGATCGGGACGACGGCCTGGGCGCAGCTGCAGCCGACACGGCGCGCGCGGCTGCGCTGTCGCCGGCCGATGAGGCGCTGCTGCGGCGCCCCTTCATGCCGATCGTCAGCCAGGAGTTCCCGCACTACGCCGTCGCCGTGGACGCGCTGCACGAGGCGGCCGAGGCCGGCGGCGCCGCCGGGCTGCGCTTCGCGCTGGACGCCGCCAGCGGCAGCGGCGGCGCGAGCAGCGGCGGGCGTCGGCCGGGCAGCGCCCCGCAGTTCAGGACGACGGTGGCGCGGCCGTTTGGGTTTGAGGGGCGCGCGTTGTCGCGGCCGCAGCTGATTGCGTCGGTGAAGGCCGAGCAGGACCGGGAGCTGAGGCGGCGCGAGGAGGCGGCCGTGAGGCGCATCAGGTGGGGTGATCAATCAGGGGAGGGGCCTTGCTGCTGTGGGGTTGCCTGCGGAAGCGGGGGAGGTACAACCGGTAGTGCCGGTTGGAAATGGATGGCTGGATGCCGCCGAGCTGACAGACTTGATGGACCCCCAGCATAAGCAGAGCCAAAGCTGAAGATTACATGTATGCATCGACCGGCCTGCCCACCCATGCTGGTCACCGTCACCGTCACCGTCACCGCCGTCACGCCCAACTTAATTACACGTCACCGCACCACCCCCAGGTTCAAGGCCAACCCCGTGCCGCCCTCCACGCTCGAGCCGCGCTATGATGCCATACTTGCCGGCCAGGCGGCGCGGCGGGAGGCGGGGCACAGCCAGAGCATGGCGGCGCTGACGGCCACGGAGCAGCCATTCAGCTTCTACACCAGGTGCGCACATGATATTCTAGGGGGGAGAGGGCGGCGATGACGGGGCCCGCGGGCAACGATCAGGGCAGCGCGGGCATGATGGGTGCATGGGCACTGAACGCCTTTGGATGCTGCCTCGCCCTCCTGCCACCTGGCCCCGCAAACCCCCCCTCCCCGGCCACCCCTGCGCCGGCCCCCCAAGGGACCAGGACCGCGAGGCTCAGCGCGAGCAGCAGCGCCGGGCGGCCAAGGACCCATCCCGCTTCCAGCGGCCCTTCAAGGCGGCCCCCATCCCGAAGCATGTGGGGGAGCGCCTGTTTGACGCAATGCGCGTCGACGAGGAGGCGCGGCGGCTGGCGGCGCGCGTGCGGGCGGAGATGGCGCGGGAGCGGGCGCGGGAGCGGCTGGAGGAGACGTGGAAGGCCAGGTCAGCGCGGCGCTGCGGGCGGGGTGGTGATGGGGACGAGGCATTGGTTGGCTGCCTCGAGAAAGTGCATGTGAAGAGGCCCGAATCCCTCACCCCGCACATTGGTGGCGATGCCAGCTGCCCCATTGTTTTGAGACGGCGCTCACTCTTACATGACACCGCACACACTGACTCTGGCCGCAGGCAAGCAGCGGCGGCTGCTGCCTACCGTGAGCGGCTCATGGGCACGGGGCCGCCCTCCGCGACCGCCACCCCCCGCCGCCACTCAGCGGCCTCCCTCCCCGACGGCGACACCGCCTGTCGCCCGGCCACGGGGCCGCAACGGCGCCGGCCGCGCTCAGCGGCGCAGCAGGCGTGGAAGGGCGCCCCGCGGCGGGTGAACGGGCGCGTGGTGTCGCAGCCGGTGCCGGACTTCGCCTCCCTGCACAGCGCATGGGAGAGGCGTCTCGCGGCCGCTAAGGAGAGCAACCAGCGGCGCGCCACGGTGCCTCAGGTGCGGGCGGCACGGCGCTAGATGCACCACTGAGGATTCCGCCAGGGGCGGGCCTGGGGCATGAAGCAGTGCCCAGGCGGATTCTGTGCAGGTGCAGCAACACCCTCACTCACGCCCACACATGCACGCGTGTGCACACACACCCACACACGTGCACACGCGCGCGCGCGCACACACACACACACATACACATACACAAGCGGACAGTGTGGTTCTCGATCATCGACGCTCTGCGCAACCTCACCGTCCTCAGGAGTTCAACTTGAACGGCTCCACCCGGGAGGAGCAGGCCACACGCGAGGCGCGAGCAGCGGAGCGCCGCGCGCGCATCGCGGACGAGGCGGCCGATGACAAGCACCAGCTGCCCGAGAGCCGCTGGACGTTCACAGGGCCGCGTGCGCCTGTGACGCCCACGCCACCGCCAAGTGCCGCAGCAGCCGGAGGAGGCGGCGCCCGAGGCGCGGGTGCCGCGGGCCGGGCGCGGCTGGAGGTCGGGGACACTCTGGCTGCGCGGCTGAAGCGTGAGGCGACGCGGCGGGCCCTAAATGAGGGCCGCTACGAATCAGAGGAGGCCAGGTGCGGCAGAGGGTGGGGCCTTAGGGTGCGGGGGGGGGGGGTGTTGCGCTTTGGGTGATTGGTGGACAGCAGTAGAGGTGTAAACAAACTGGTTTCCAGCTGTACAGTGTCCTGTTGTGGCCTTCGGTGTGTGCACGCCTGTCAGACTTGGTTGGTGCCGAATACCATTACCTGCAGGGCAAGCCGGCGTGCCGATGAGGAGCGATCTGAGGCCAGGGACGCGGCAAAGCGCGCGGCAGCGGTGCGGTCGGCTGCTCAGCGGTACGCGCTCGCGGAAAAGCTCCAGAGCGCAGCACTGGCGGTCGCGGCAGGGCTGGCGCCCGGGGCGACAGCGGAGCCAGTGGCGGGTGGCGCCGAGGGCGGCGCCGGGGTGTCAGCGCCGAGCAGCCCGTCGGGGCGCGGCAGCGGTCACGGGGAGTCTGAGGGGCGATCCGGCAGCAGGGGCCGCGGCCTCACGTCGACGGCCGAGTGGCGGCGGCGGGCGGAGGACGTCGCCGCTTTCGGTGCGGCGGCGCGCAGCCGCAGCCCTTCGCCGCGGCCGCCCAGCAGGGGCCCGTCTGGCCCCGCCGCGGTGCCTCCTGTGCGGCACGGGCGGGGCGGCGGCGGCGGCAGCAGCAGCGGGACGTCTGAGCGCCGCGCGTCACTGCGGGGCAGGCGCGAGGCTCCTGTGATGCACATTGAGGCTCGGCACGCGCAGGCAGCTGCCCAGGCGCACCGGCTGGTGGAGGACGCGCTGCTGGCGCAGGGCATCGATGCCCTGCGATACGTGAAAGGCTGATGCGCGAACAGGGCATCAGTGACACTGTTGAGGCACAGTTGGTTGGGCGGCAGTTGCCAAATTGCTTGCTGCATTATTGCTGTGTCCCTGCCCAGTAATCAAGAACGTGCGAGGATTGCGCAGGGAGTGGCCTGGCTGCGGTCGCTGTCCAGGGTGCTGCGGCGAATGTACGCGTGGCGGGCGCGGTGAATGCAGAAGATGCTGTGGCGTGAACGCATGGTGCTTTGTCTCTGACGCCATACGAGGCAAACCATCAATTGTCATTATTCGTTTTTGCTCCTCGACGTAAGACCATGTGCACAAGCCTGTTCTTGCTGGACGCGCACCCCCGGATCCTCTTGCTGCTGCTTTTCAACCGTGATGAATTCTACAACAGGTGCCATAGAAGCTGGATTTCCTGTATGCCGCAGACAGTGGTTGTTTCAAACGCCGATGCAAATGCAGCAACGCAGCGAAGCGGTTGCTGAGCTGACTCACGCCTGCACTGCAGGCCCACCGACCCGGCTCATTTCTGGGAGTCCAACCCGGACATCCTAGCCGGGCGAGATGCTATGCGCGGCGGCACGTGGTTGGGGGTGACAAAGGGCGGCCGCTGGGCGTTCCTCACCAATTTCCGCGAGGTGCGCGGTGCAGCAGCGCGCATAATCAGCGCCTCCGCTGCGCTGAACGTCTGCTGCTCGAGGGATGCTGCGCCGGCATGCACGCGCTGGCTGTTGCTGGGGTTGGCTGTCGCAGCCAATCATACAAAGCATGGACGACTGCCGCATCGCCGTGACGCTGAAGCCAAAATCTTTCATGACGCAGCCTTTGGCAGCGGGCGCTGCTCGAGGGGCGGCGGGCGGCAGCGGCAAGGCACCCCCGTCGTTCCCGCAGACGACCACGGCTCCCAGCCGTGGCGCACTGACAGCGGACTTCCTGGCAGGAGACATGGCTCCCTTGGAGTACTTGCAGGTTGGCACGGCAGTGGCCGGGCGCAGCTCTGCTCAGCTACTCGACGCACCCAGCCTTCCCGGTCTGCAATTGTCCCAGTCAGGGAAGAAAAGGCGGTCAGATGAACCAGAACAGTCATCATCATCATCAGCAGCAACAGCCCCCGCAGCAGCAGCAGCAGCAGCAGCAGCAGCAGCAGCAGCAGCAGCAGCAGCAGCAGCAGCAGCAGCAGCAGGAGCATCATCAGCAGCAGCAGCCGCATGCTGCAGCGTGCGGGCGCGTTGACCCCGCCGTCGCCGTCCGCACATGTTGTCCAGGCCTCCCCACCCCCACCCCCTGTCCGCGGCCCCACTTTGACAGGCCCTGCGCACCGACTACATGGGCGTGAGCGTGGCGGTGGGGGACCTGCGGCGCGGCACCGCGGCCTTCTTCTGCAACCGCGATGGCCGCCCGCCGCGGGAGCTGCAGCCCGGACTGCACGGTGGGCATGCCTAGGCCCTGCGGCCCGTGTGTGGCCGGTGCATTGCTGCCTTCCTCAGCTCATCCAGCCGCACAATCTCATGAGTCATGCCTTGCATCATGCGTTACCGTGAGCTGGCTGGACAGCCGGATAACAGCACAAGCGGTACCTCCTGCACTTCCGCTTCGCCCGCCTCGGCTTGCTGGACCCCACACCCCTTGGGCTCCGCCGCGGCAGGCTTGAGCAACGGGTTCTTTGGGGAGTGGCCCAAGGTACAGAACGGCATGCAGCAGCTGCAGCAGATGTTGGAGGAGGCCGATCTTGAGGGTGAGGGGGTAGGAGAGGTGGGGGAGTGGCCTGGCTCAGGAAAAGCGGTGTCTGGCACACTCTATTTGGCCTCCGCCATTGGAACCCTGTGCGGCAGCGCACTGAGCCCAGTCCCTGTGCACCTCGTCCACAGCCTTATCTGCCTACACGTTCGGGCACGCGCGGTCGCAGGACGCACGCGAGTGCGAGAGCATGCGCCAGGACACATGCTCAGCGCAGCACCTGAGCGCCCACGGGTCTGAGCGCCAACGCTCACGCTCTCCCATGCACGTGCGTTATCACCCCAGGAGGCGCCATCCCGTGGGACCGGCTGTTCAGCCGGGAGCTGATGGCCGACACCACCACGGCAGAGCCGGGGCGCGTGCCCATCACGGGTGTGGGGGAGGAGCTGGACCGGCTGCTGAGCGCGCGGTTTGTGACCCCCTTCGAACTACAGGTGGGGCGGGGCGAGGGTCGGAGTCGGTTGCAGCGGTGGTCCCGGGAGGGATAGGCGTTTGCTGTGGCGCTGTGCAAGAAGGCACAGTATTCCAGGCTGGCGTTTCGCCGCTTGTTCTCACAGGGTCATGGAAGCCAAAGACCTTATCAGTCAACCCTCGACTCTGCTCCACACCCCACCATGCACGCAGCCCGGCCAGCGCTATGGCACGCGCTCACAGCTGGGCCTGGTGGTGTGGCGCGACGGCCGAGCAGAGCTGGTGGAGCGCTTCTATTCGCCAAATCCCTGCCCCCGCGAGGGCCAGCCACTGCCACCGCAGCAGCAGCAGCAGCAGCAGCAGCAGGAGCGGCGGCAGGAGCAGCAGCAGCAGCAAAAGCAGGAGCAGCAGCAGCAGCAGCAGCAGCAGCAGCAGCAGCAGCAGCAGCGGGAAGAAACAGAACCAGCAGCGCAGCACAGAGACACAGCGGAGGCAATGCAGTGTTCACCACATCGTGGCCAAGCTCAGCAACAGGACGATGAGGATGGCGGCGGTGGAAAGCAAAACAGCGATGTGGACGACCGCGCTGGGCCCCTGCAGCAGGAGGAAGGGGAGGAGAAGGATGTGGTGCGTCGGCAGCAACAGGCCGCCGCACACCTGCGGACTTTGCTGGCGCAGGAAAGCAGCGCGGACGGCAGCCACATCAACCCCGGGTCGCAAGTGTGCGGCCTCAGCAGCCGCGGACCAAGCGCGAACCAGGCAGGGGTGGCCTCAACCACAGCGAGGCAGCCGAGAGCATGCAATGGCGGGTGTGGTGGTGGCGAGGCTGCGGCTGGGTGCAGCAGCACAGCTGAGGGGCAGCAGAGACCAGAGGGTGGGGCATGGACGGGTGGAGCGCGCCTCGGCGCCAAGGTGGACACATGGCCAGTGCCTAATCCCGTAGGCGCCTTGGATGATTGGCGCGGTGTGCGGCATGAGTTCAAAATTCGTTTGTAAGCAACCACTTCAGTGTTGCTGTGTGTAATGTCACCTGTCAAGCTGATGAAGCAGCCCTTTCCTGGCCGGTGTTGGCACAGGCCGCAATGCTTCAGTTGTTGTTCATGATCCCAGTACAGAACGCTCATGTTGGAGTACTGCCTTTCTGCTGCCGCAAGGTCATGGTGGTGCACCATCTGCACGTTGACTGTGCCAAGCTGTCAAGTGCATGTGCCATGCTTCTTGGTAAGCTTAAGGAGACATTGTATACAAAACATGGGGTGGTGTTCGAGGGTTGCAGCCCTTTTGCTGCATTTAAGGACACTCAGCAGCCAGCAGTGCCGGCTATTGCGAACTACAGGCTGCTGAGACAGGTGATGCGTCAGACCAAGGTTGGCAACGCCCCGCCCTTCGCATCCAGCGGCGGAACATCCATTACTTTCCTGATTTGGCATGTGAGGGCGTGATTCACCTAAGTGTGGGCATGCGACGGGCATATGATCCTCAAACGTACCTGCTCCTTGGGTTGAGCCAGGCTGCGTGATTTCGCACCCCAATGACTCAGGCGTTTGCTCCTGCTGCCAATGGACAGCAGACTCTCTCTTTGCCACCCACAAATCCCATCGCAGTGACCATCCACCTTTTAAAAGCGAATTCAGCTCGTTCGACGCAAATCAGCGTTTGTTATACAGCCCCCTGATCACACCAGCCCCGATCTGAAAGGAATTGTTTCATTTTCTGCACTGTAACCACCAACACGTTTTATCTAGTACTCTGGGTTCAGCTCACTCACGGGTGACCCACCACATCTGGCTGCGCTTCTGCGCCGACCGCCGAGAGGTCTCTACTCATCCTCACTGCACACCTAGCGCGCTCACACAGAGCGCTTGCTGCGCCAACGATGCCGGCACGCGTACTTGTGAGCAATGACGACGGCATTGATGCGCCAGGCCTGCGGGCGCTGGTGCTCGCGCTGTCCAAGGAGGCCGACGTCTTCGTGTGCGCGCCCTCGGAGGAGCGCAGCGCACAGAGCCACGCGGTGTCGCTGCGGCGGTTCCTGGCCTGCCACCCCCACTCCGGCGTGGAGGGTGCCAAGGCGGCGTTTTCTGTTGACGGTGGGCGCCGCGTGGATGGGGAGCAGGGGAGTTTCTGGTGAGGCGGCAGCGTGCAGCACCAGGTTGTGGGCACACCCTGAAAATGCGCACGTGCCCCCCATGTGATGTTTATACTGACAGCAGCATGCATGGCGTCAGCCCCCGGATATTTGCCACCCTCTGCTCACAACTTGGCACCCCTGTCGCCATCTCTGATACCTCCGCAACCCCCGGCTGACAATCAATAGGCACCCCAGCAGACTCCGTCATGCTCGCCATACATGGACCCGTTTTTGAGGTTGGTGGCGCCTGGGGGATGAGGAAAGGGCGGCAGGGCGGGTGGCAGAGGAATCAGGTGCGCTTGCACGCTCCCACAACTTTCAGCTGTTAAATCGGTGTGCGTGACTGAACGCTGCTGGCCGCTCCCCAGGGTGGTGACTTTGACCTGGTGGTGTCGGGCATAAACCGGGGCGACAACTGCGGCCTCCACGTCATCTACAGGTGGGGCGCCGCGACGCAGTGTGTGAAATCGGATCTCTTATAATATCATGTGACTGTGGGCCGCTCCCAGTTGGCTGCATGCCTACCTGGCCTGTAGCGTCTCCACTGAATCGAACCTGGCAGGTCAAACATGATATCAGTAAAGTTCTTTGCCCCCGTTGCACGCGGCCAACGCAGTGGCACGGTTGGCGCGGCTCGAGAAGCTGCCTGCAAGGTGGGCTGCTGGGTGGCATTTCGCTTGGTGGTGCGGGTCTGAACGGCAACGCGCTGCCCCGTCTCTGCCTGCAGCCTCCGTTGCCCATCAAATGGGGTCCACCTTTGAGCCCTGGCGGGTCGGCAATGCACTGCCACCTTCCTGCTTTTGCATGCTGTTGAACTCGCACTCTTAGACAAATCGGCCTGCCCACCCCCTCACCCCCAAAAACCAGGGTGTGCCGGCCATCGCCCTGTCGCTGGACAACTTCAATGCACGGCGTGTGGATGACTACGCACCCTCAGCTGCCATCAGCGCGGCCCTCGTCAAGGCACGTAGCCGCTGCCGTCCTTCCGCCGTTGTATGCTCCACCCTCCCGGGCTGTCAAAGACGGATTGGTCAGGATCTGGCAGAGAGGCCCGGTTAGCTACCCATCCTGTGGCCACCCCGCACCTACCTGCCCACCCGTCCCCCCTCAGTGTGCTGTATGCTTCACTGCCCCACGCCCGTGGCTCCTCCCCGGCCCGCAGGCCCTGCTGTCCATATTGTCCGAGTCCCCCTCCGCCCTGGGTGACATGTCTGAGGGCGTCGTTCTCAACGTGAACTTCCCGGCAGGTGGGGACCCTTGGTGCTGCCGCGTTGCAGTGCCTGCGCCTGACAGACGGCGCACCTTGCCGCAGCCACTGCAAGCCGAAATTGATTGCTCACAGGACGGAGTCCTTGCCCCGGGCTCTGGGCGGAGGTGCATCTGTTGTGGTTGCTGCTGCTTTGGATATGTCCTCGGCGGACGACCACAGCTGCGGCACGCCGGCCGGCCGCAGGGGACGTGTCTGAGATGAAGGGCATCAAGCTGACCCACCAGGGGACGGGCTGCTTCTTCCCAAACTTCAAGGAGGTCCAGGAGGGACAGGTGGGTGGGGGGCAGCCTGTTGGCCAGACGTTCAGGGGATGTGGGGCTGGAGGCAAGGAGTGGGGCGTTGCAACAGCAGCATGGCGAAATCAGGGCGCTGCAGAATCGGGGGGTTATGCTGACGCGAATCAGGCAGGTCGGGATGTAATCAGGGCTGTGTGTTGGGGTGAAGCAGATGCGTAAGGTGCCGCAAACTCAGCCTGGCTGCTTGGCAAGAGCGCCTGCAAATTGCAGCGGCGCCTTAGTGCAACGGCGCATCACATGTGCTGTTCTGTGTTGCACCAGTGGTGGCAAACTCCCTGAACCAACTGAATGCTGTTGCTTCGGCGGGCACGGCAATCGCAGGGCAGCCACATGCCCCAAATCGAGGAGCGCACAGAGGACACGCGCATGTTCAGGAACTTTGCTGGCGGGTATCGCAAGTAAGCTGGCTTGGTCATGTGTATGTGGCACCTGCTCAGCCTGGTCTGGGTGCGTCCTGACGCCCCTCCCCATGCGCAACGCTCTGCGTGAGGAGCGCAAGTCCCCAAGCCCGCATGCCTTCCCTCATGCTTGGTTGCACAGAGATGGCACTGACGGCTCAGACATGGATGCTGTGGCTGGCGGATGGGCCAGCGTCACACCTCTCGGGCTGCGGTCAGACCTGCTCTTTAAGGTGTGTGAGTGGGAGGAGAGGGGACGGTTGCAGGTTGCTGGCGGGCCGGGGGTTGGCGGGCGACTGGTTGGCCAGGGGCCAGCAAGTGTCTGTGGCCGGAACAAGAACAAAAGAGCTCACACCGGCCAGAAGACCAGGGGTGACCTGAAGGGAAGGGAGCGCCCTGCAGGCAGGACCCCGCATCTCAGCCAGCCACCCGCCCCAGCAATCCATGCTGACCTCCATTTCTGGGCAACGTGCTGTCCCTTATACATCATGCAGCACATACTGCCCGCACCTCCCTCAACCCCAGAGCCGCACAGCCGCTGGCAGCAGCAGTGCCAACAGCGGCGAGAGCGCGATCCAGGAGCGGCATGCGCGTGGCTCAGTGGCGGTGGCGGCGCAGGTGGTGGTGCGGGCCGCGGCGGCGCTGGGTTTGGAGGCTGGCGGGATAGAGGGCATTGAGTGGCCTTTGGCAGACTAGCAACCGCAAATGTGTATGTGTGTGTTGGTGGGTTCAAACAATGTCTTTCTATTGTTTTCTGGCGAAAAATTTTGCTCCTGAGCTCTTGAGAGATTGCTCATGATTTTGCACACAAGTGACTTTGAGTGACACCTGGCTGGTCTGACCGGACAACGGCGCAACCTGTTGCCAAGAGCACAACAATTTAACTAGTGTAAGCCTGCATGAGGGCGGCGGTACCTCAAACACAACAAGCGCCATTGCAACTTGAGGGTCCAGTCAGCCTCGTGCAGAGCCACAACACCTTCACTGTACACACAGTCACAAGTTGGAAGCAAGCGTGGTTCTCATAAATCTGTCATTCATCCGCCCTTTGTTGCCACCAGCACCTCGCTCGCCACGAGACCCCCTGGCACCAGCTGCCGGTGCCGCACCACCCAGCCAGGGCCCAAGAACTCCTGCAGGCTTTGGGACCGGCAGCCCCCTACCACCTGCGCCGCATGCCATGGACGAGGCACTGTGATGCATTTTGAACAGCTGCCAACACAGCACAAATGAATTGGGAGAGGGAGGTTGAATGCTGTTGCACTGGCTGTGCGGTTGTACCGGTCGTGCCAACGACTATCACCCTGGCGGGTTGTTTGCGACTGGCTAATCCTTTGCCCCTACGAGCCCACAGGACAGCTGCAGTGGCAAGGTTGCCCATCAAGTACGCTGCAACCCCGCTTTGTGCTATGTACACACCGTGGGCGCCAGCGCGTGCACGGCGCCCCACACTGCAGACCCCAGCCTGGTGGCGGGGGTGCAGCCTTCCCCCAGATTGACCAGGCACAGCTTCCCGTCAGGTTCCAGAAGCCTCCAGGCCTCCGTCAAGAAGGCCGCCACGTCATCAACTGTGGGGCCACGATATTGTGTTTGGCGGCATTGGTGCGGCCGAGAAAACTTATCTGTGTGCTGGCTGCAGAGCGGCAGGCAGTAGATATGAAGCCTGCGGCGAGCTGGTGCAGAATTTGGGTGGCGCCGCTTGCTCAGAATTAATGCGAGTGGCGCAGCCTCTCCCCTAAGCCCGCGCTCGAGACGTCCAGCCTGCATCAGACCTGACAGTATGTCCAGCACGTACGTCGACAGCACTGCAGAGAAGGAGCCGTCCCGCTCGGGCGCGCACGCTTGGAAGGGGTCCCCCTCGACCAGGCGCACGGATGCATTGGCCAGGCCCTGGGCCGCACGCGCGTTGGGGGGCGAGCAGTCAGCCCTGTCAGCATCCCAGCAGCCGCTCGTCAGCACAGGCCACACTAAGACGGCTGCAGAGCATTGCGACACCAACCCCAACCTGATCTACCCCATGGGGCCGATGCTATGCTAACTGACACTTCATGGGGTCGAAGCCCAGATAAGACGCACCTGCAGCTGCCTTTCGGCGAGCCCTGCCATGACTGGGCTGGCGTCCACCCCGATGTACCGCGCCCCTGGCGCTAGCTCGCCCCGCCGCAACAGCCGGTCTGCCAGGCGTCCGCTGCCGCAGCCAAACTCAAAGATGCTGCTGCAGCTGCCCAGATTGGCAGCCGCCAGCAGGGCTGAGACCGCAGGGCCACCGTAGACGCTGTCGCTGTCTCGGACCTTGGCGCCAGCTCTGGGGGTGACGAGATTCAAGAGCAGTGCCAACCGTGATGGGGCGCCCCTTGATGAGAGCGTGGAGGCACCAGCCGAGACGTCTGGCCGTCTGCCGAGTGGCAGAGGAGGGCGGCCTGCCGGTGACCCGACGCGCATGGATGCTGACTCACCGATCGTACACCTGCCGTGCCTGCTCTCTCGTCAGTACACGACGTGTGTCCACAGGCAGGGTCCGTGCGACAGCAGCCAGACGTGCGGCGTCCATCAATGCTGATGGCGTCAGACGCCCGCGCAAGCGCTGCAAATACACACGAGGAGGCTGCAGTAGCTGGTGAGGCTGGGTCGCACTGAGAGCTGGGCCACCTCCCGACGGCGCCGGCCCCTGGTCGCTCCTTGGATGAACTGAACACCGGTGTGACGCGGGTGTGACAGCCAGCCCGGCTCGCCGTCAACAGCACTATTTATGATTGGGCAATAGTGCTCAGAACGTCACAAATGCGCCCAAGTTTCTGACCTGGTGACAACCGCACGGAGCGAAACCGCGATCTAGTGATCTGTGGGGCGCTGGCGGGGTGGGCAGAGAATTGCCCTGAATTGCGGAGAATATTGACGCATACATGTGACTGGCGAATGCGCTGCGGTTCAAGAGCCTCCTCAAAAGTTTCGCCACTTGCAGCGCCACCGCGCCGTAGTGCAAGTGACTCCCGCCAGGCTGAACACCCTACATCATTGTCGCGTAATCACAGTGTGTCGCCATATTGCATCTCACCAGAAAGGGCACCAGTGCGTTCCAACGCCTGCTGCTTGCTGGCAGCAATCCACCAGCAGCATCACATGGATGCATAGGACCAGACCACACAGGCACCGCAGCCCAGCAAGTAGAAGCGCAGCATGTGCGCGCACCACGCATCGAGAGCAGCTCCATGATGCTTAGGCTGTGTGTGTAGCCTGCACAGGATGCCCCCCGGCTGCCGCAACACTCCCCCTAATGGCCTCCACACAGCATCACCCCTGCAGCATCCTTGCAGCCAGGCTCCCTGGCTGCCATCTGGTGTCACCGCCTCCATCATAAAACTGCGTAACTCCCGTGATGTGGTCATGTTCCAGCAGGCCATGGGCACTGCCGCCTGCTGCATGATGCTGCCTGACCAGCCTGCGTTCTAACTGCCCGTGCGGCATGCATGGCATGCACAAGCGCCTTGTGTATGGCATGGCGGCTGCCCCCCATGGCATGGCGGCTACCCGATCTGCACAACCTCATGCTGGTGGGGTCTTGGTCTTCCGAGGCACTCTTGGACCCCCACAAATCCGGCGGGAGGCTTGGCCAGCTCATTGCCCGCCCCTTCACCGTGGCGCTCACCTGTACCTGGTGGCTGCGTACAGGCGCTCTGCATCGTGCCCTCACGCGCCGAGCACCGTTGTGTTGAGCCCTATGCTGCCAGTGCGCCATGCGGGCTGTCAGACCTGCAACAGTTGCACGTTGGACCCACCCCCTTGTGCCGACGACGGTCGTGGCGCCTAGGTTTTGAGCACGTTTGCTGCTCGCTGATGCAGCTCTGAGTGTGTCACCTGACTCCTGCTGGACGGTTCATGCCGCGATGCCGTGGGCTTCCTTGTGGGTGAACGAGACGTTTCGACAGCTTCTCTTTCGACAGAATGTGGCACTCACGGAGGTCATGGCATCGAGGCGCCGGGGCGTTTGTGCAGCTTGCGCGCCTGCGTCGCCTTGACCTGAGTTTCTGCTTTGCTAGCCAACACGTGCTGCACGCCCTTGTTGGCTTGACCAGGCACACCCACCTGCCTGCACGTGACAGACAGGTCCTTGCAGAGCAGCTTACCCAACTTGGGCGCTTGAGGTCACCTAGACTCTGGCAGTATTGGCCGCCTGCAGCCCTTGGGGATCAAGCACTCCCCGCCAGGGGGGCCCACGCCAACTCACTTGTCTGGTTTGGGAAACCGGCGTCAGGGCTGGCCCGGCCGCACTTGATCAGCCTGGAGCTTCAGGTTTCTGTCAACTTGACGCGCAATTCCCTCGCTTGACAGTGACAGATACAAAACCGGGGGGTGGGGCTGCTGCGCGTGGTTGTTTTGGCCACATTTGGCACATCACCGCGATCCAGCATCTGCGAGCTCGCGTGCCTTCCAAAGCTGGCGGCCGAGCGTGTGTCATTTGTGGAATTCTAGAGGGCACTAGTCCGGGAGGGAGAAGAGCGAGTTTGTGGCGTTTGCGGTTCGGTTGCGTTGCCCCGTTGCCCGCCCTTGAGAAGCATTCACCTGCTGCTTAATTCCTTAGACCCTTTCAAGATCATAATAATTTGCAAAGCCTTAGCTGCAGGCAGAGCTTTGTGAATTGTGAATGCGGGAGCTGATGCTTGAGGCTCACAACGGATGAAGATCCTGATGACGACGCTACACCTACAGCTATTGCGGTGCTTGCCGCCACCGCTTCGCCAACTGCCACAGGCCTGGATCCCGCTGCAGATTCACATTCATTGAAGTCATTCTCACGCCGCAATGGGCATTATGCCATTGCATACGGATTCGTTTGTGATGCAGTTCAATGTGATCGGTTCCACCGTCTCTGACGACCCATCATGGTGATGACGCACAGCGAGTACCAAGTGGCACCCCTGAACTCATAGACATAGAGCTGCGCGTTTAAGACTCTTCCCTCATGCTGACTGAAGGACAGCCAGGTCCTACCGTACTGGCAATGCGGTGCATGCATGGCACTGTGCGAGACACACAGTCAAACACGGTCGTTGCGCAACTTGGTGATCTCTGCCACAACAACGTAGTTCAGCCAGGCCATTCCCCCCGCAGTTATTGATTATCGTCATAATTGCTAGTATTCTTGTGGTCCTCCGTCGCACTGCTGCCGGGGACCTTTCGCGCGCTGACAAAGAACGCACACGCTCGTCGTGAACAAGTGCATATGCGCGACTAAAATCATGCTCTTAATGTTGCTCGCGTCCTGTTGAAGTCGACCTCGTCCCGGCCGTGGCACCGGCCGTGGCACGGTGCCCCCAGATCCGAGCTGCACTTTGGGGACGGCACACGTAATAAGCCATGGCGGAAGAGGTGGACGCTTCATCTAAGGGAGCCGACCTGAAGGACGCGCGCGCGGACTGGATCAGGGACCGCGTGTGCTCCTCGCTGAAAGTCAGGCCGGAGCAATTCGCGAAGCTGTCCCAAGGAGATGCCAAGTGTGCTGTCGGCGATCGCAGTGGGACCTCCATGTGTTTGTCGCTGGTGTGTGCGCGACGGTGTCGTCATCTCCCTCGCGCCAGTACTCGACGACCGTGTGCTCTGCCTTTGTCTGCTCAGCCCCTTCTCCGCGACTAGCGCCTGCCTGAACATTGTCGCGTGTTTGCAGATCTTTATTGGTCAGCTTTTTGGATGATCCTGACACGCGCCGTCTGCTGGTGTTCTCCGATGGCAAGGACCTGCTCGCGGTGCGTTGACCGCTTCTCAGGCTGCCGCGGCCAGCATTGAGGCGCAGGGATCTATGTGCATGTGACAGGTGCAAATGGTACTATTGCATGTCATTGATCAAGGCGCATATCCTGGGCTTGCCCCCAGTATGTTGCATGCATTGACGTTGTCCCTATCCTGCTGTACACTGCAGTCAACGAAGCCACTCCAAAAACTCAAGCGCAAGACGGTGTACTTTGTCAAGCTGCAGCCCATCAAGCTGGACAATGACAACGTCAGCAGAGAGGTGTGCAGTTGCATGGTCTGCAGGGCGCGATTGCGAGTGTCCTTCACTCTTGCAGCATGCCTGCACAACCAGTGCTGCTGGCATGTTGTTTGCATGCACGATTTAGGGATGCCGGCCATGCATGCCACGTGCGTGTATGAAGCTGCTGCATGCTGAATCGCCTGCCGCTTGACTGCCCTTGCGCAGGTTCTCCACGGGGAGCTGACGGAGGCGCCGCTGGAGACGCTTTCGGCGGTGGCGCAGAATGTATTCCTGCCCCTCCTCAGCAGCGCGCACAACCAGGAGGGTTGGCCTGACGTGGTGGCGCAGGAGGTGACGGAGAACATGCACAAGTTTGTGGCCAACGGTGAGTAAGTGAGCTGTGCAGCTGGATGCTTTGGGCGGGCAGCACTTAGGCACTGGCTGTGCAGCTCTCACCAGCTCTCCAAGCAGGAGGAACTCTTGGTTGAAATCTGCATCCCTCATACCGCGCTCTCACTGCTCAGTCAAGGTCTCCATTGGCGAGTCAAAGGGCCAGACCGTGCTGCCTCTGCCCAGCGCTGACCCGGGGGCCATTGCGGCGGCGGCAGCAGCGGCGGCAGCAGCGGCAGCAGCGACACCCGTCTCTGCGTCAGCGGAGGAGCCGGCGGCAGCAACAGCGCCCGGCCGGCCAGGGCGGCTGCCACCTGCAGAGGCGGAGAAAGTGCACATCTTGGAGTCGGCTATCATGACATGGACGCGGCAGATCAAGAAAGTCCTTCAGGCAGATCCAGATGCCGCTCTCAAGGTGTGTTACCCTGGCGGGGCTGAACATGGTTGGGCCTGGCTAAGCGCAACGCACAATACAAATCGCAGGCCCCAGCAATGCCTGCATGTGCATCTGTGGGGTTGTTGATTCAAGGCTGTAACCCCACTGACAGCTGCTGCAACCCCTCGTCCCAAACCCCTGCATGCTGCTGCTGTGCTTCTCATGCATGTGCACCATTTTGCAGGGGCCGGGGGCGCACCCGGGGCCGCTTGTTGAGCTGGACTTCTGGAAGGAGCGCGCCGACAATCTGGCCTCCATCCACGAGCAGCTGGCGGGGGACCGCATTCAGAAGGTGGTGCGCGTGCTGGAGCTGGCGCACAGCACCTACCACCCGGCCTTTGAGCGGCTGTTCAAGGTGCGCGCGGCTGGGATTTGCAGTGGGATGACAGTGGCTCCACTGTCTCCATGAACACTGCTGTCTTTTTGTAGTTTGCAGGCTGGAGGCAGTGGTAGCTGCACCCAGCAGTATCACATGTCAGGCAAAATCACGCCATACAATTTCTGTGGCCTGTCTTGCAGGAGGTCGAGGCGGCGCTGCTGGAGGCGGCCGACAACGTACGCTTCCTGGCCCCCCTGCGGCGGCACCTGGAGCGGCTCAGCATGATGGACGACTTTGTGGCCCTGGTGCGAGCTTATTGTAATATTCAGAAGGAGGGGGCGCAACGGCGTGATGCTGTTTTGCAAAGCACCCGGACATAATACAGCACAGGGTGCAGGTTGCAAAGGGGTCGCTGTGGTGAGGTGTTGCCTTTGCCTGTGCCCAAGCGCTGACGCGCTTGCGTGCCCCTCAACTCTTCAGGTGGACCTGTTCAAGCCCATCATGCACACGGCGCTGCTGATCTGGAAGCACAGCGGGCACTACAACACGGCCGCGCGCATGGCCACTCTGCTGAGGGAGGCGTGCAACGACCTCATTGCCCAGGTGAGGGAGGGGGAGAGCCGGGCACTGGTTGCCCGAGCAAGCTGTCACCCCAGCAACTTTGCTCACCCCATGCCCTTCACCCACCATACCTCCTATGCTGCACCCCTTCTACTGCGCAACCCCTCGACCTCCACAGGCCCACCGCTTTGTGCCGGGCCCCGAGCTGCTGCGCATGGAGCCGGGCGAGGCTGTGAACAAGCTGCGGCTGGCCCTGAAGGTGCTGGGCACCTTCAAGGCCTACTTCTTCAGCTACAGGGTCGCCTCGGGCGTGGAGTGCCCCGACAACCCCTGGCGTTTTCAAAACGCGGCAATCTTTGGGCGGCTCGATAGGTGGGGCGGCTGGCATTGCTGGCGGGTGGTGCTGGTTGGCGGTGCAGCCAATCGCTGCCATGTACAGGCGACGACTCCCGACGCCATGCAGTGCCTGCAGCCCGTCAGCCTCAGGCATTCAAGCCTGGCAACATCTGCACTTTGCCGACGACACACCAATCATGACACCGACCTCCCCCACTACAGGTACATGTCCCGCTGCTCAGAAATGCTGACGTTGGCCGGCACAGTCGTGCAGTTCAGCCGGCTGGAGCGCGTCGAGGTGGGCGGCACCAAGGGCAAGAACATCAGTGCGGCCATCAAGACCGTCCACGCAGACTTCACCGCCGCACACGAGCGCTTCCAGCAGGTGGGCTTCACGGCAACGTTGCTTGCTGCTGCAGCTGTGTTCACAAATTAAGATGATTGCGCCATGCGAGTCTTGTATTGCAGCCCTCATGGCTTGCACCCTGCCCAGCCTGGATAACAGCCTTGCAAATACACTCATTAGCGTCCCCTCACCCCCCCCCCACCCAAACACCTCACCGCACCATCCACTTTGGGGTGTGTCCATGGTAGGTGCTGTATGACGTGATGGACGTGGACGCGCCGCAATACGCAGCCGACCACGGCGCCCTGAGGGCCGCTATCACCGAGCTGGAGCACCGCCTGGGGGCGCTCATCATCCAGGTGCGGCCCTGAGAGGGCGGACGGACGAGGTGGGGCGGCTCGGGGCGGACTGGGGCTCGGCAGGGCCAGGGAGTGCAAGACACACTGAGGAAAAGATGTACACAATGGAGAGGCTGCAGCAATGAGGGCATTGTCACAAGTGGGTTCGGCTGATTAGGGTCTCGCTGCAGATTCGTGCAACTTGCGACACCCCAAGGTTTTAGGCGACCACATGCTGCGCACTCTGAACGCGCTCCGTGCCCAGGCCTTTGATGACTGCACGACCCTGAGCAGCACGTTCAAGCTGCTGGACTCCTTTGAGGGCCTCCTGGAGCGCGAGGCCATCGCCGCTGAGCTCACCAAGAAGCAGGTGGGCTGGGCAACTGGCAGGTGCTTCCAGAGGCAGCTGAGCCACCTGCTTGACTTGCATAGCGCAGCCCTCACTTGACCCCCTGGTAAGCAAGCCGCCTGATGGCCTTTCTATTTTTGCTCGCCGTCCTCAACGTCTGCCACCCAGGCTGAGCTCGTCAAGGCGTTTGCGGCGGACGTGGCCGAGGTGGAGGAGCTCTTTGAGGGCGCCAAGCTGGCGCCCGTCCTCAGCAGCAACGCACCTCCGCACGCGGGCGCCGTGGCCTGGGTGCGCGGCCTCAAGGCGCGCATCGCAGAGCCGTTTGCCAAGCTGCAGGCCATGGAGCACGGCGCGCTGCTGGAGGGGCGGGAGGGGCGGCCGGCGGCGGCTGCGTACGAGAAGGCGATGGCGACCATGGAGGCATTCGAGGCCGACGTTGTGGCAAAGTGGTGCCAACAGGTGGGTGCCGGGGTTCACCAACATGGTGTCACGGTGCTGCAGCCTTTTGTACATTCCCATGCTGCTCTGAGCCCTGCGACTTGCTCTTGCTTTTGCGCTGCATGCACAGCAATCAGCACACCTATTCATAACCCTCATGTGGCCTTTTGCGACCATTTGCAGGTGGACTCCACCAGCGAGGCCAAGCTCAACCTGCGGCTGCTCCAATTCCACGAGGACGCCACCCCCGACCTGCCCCTGCTGGCAGTCAACTTTGACCCTGCCCTGGTGGCGCTGCTGCGGGAGACCAAGTACTTCCTGCTGCTGCAGATACGCGTGCCGGACGCAGCGGCGGCGGTGTTTGAGCGTGCGGACTTGTATCGGTCTCAAATCGGCAGCCTGGAGCTGATGGTGGGAAGGGGGCGAATGGCAATGCAGGGGTTCCAAAACTGTTTTGAGTGCTGGAGCGACTGACGGCCATGGTGCTGGCCAGCAACCATGGCTGGACAAAGCCTGGTGGGTTGCATAGCAGCGATTTCATTCGAGGGCAAAGGTGCGTGGCATATTCACTGCGCCCTACATATGATATTGCTGATCATCCTGCCAGGTGGCCCTGTACAACCGGATACAGCGCACTATCCTGCCTGTGGAGAAGCCCCTGGTGGAGGCAAAGCTGGCGGCTGTGGAGGCAGCGCTGCAGCGGTACGCAATGGTTGTGGCAGGGACGGAACCAAACGTATTTGCAACGGATTCATCTCCAACTTGAAAACTGAAGGCGTCATGATGCATCGTGACTGCTCCTTGGCGCTGCGTTTTGCCAATTGAGAACCCCTTTCTATATCTGTACTGGGCCATTCGTCCTGCTCAGGGGTCTGGAGGAACTGCGGTGGCGGTCCGAGGGCATTGAGCCCTTCATCCGTGAGGCCTTGGAGCTGGTGCGTGACCTGGACTCTGTGCTGGCTACCCTCAAGGACAACGTGCGGCGCACACAGGTGCGTCCAATACAGTACATCGCAGCAGGGGACCTCGCGGCGGATGGGATGGGGGCATTGGGACCCTACTCGTGGAAGTTGCTTGTGTGTCTGCAACGTCAGCCCCTGCATGGAATCGCACTTGAAACACCTGTCAACCGCCTCTGCCTCCAACAACAGGACGTTCTGCGTGCGTTTGAGCGCAGCCTGATGTTTGAGCGCAAGGAGGGCAAGGTGTATGCAGCAGACGAGCTGGCTGAAGCATCAGCGGCGCTGATGGCGTCGCGGCACGCGGAGATGCGCGAGGCTGGCAAGGAGATCGGCAAGCTGCTCTCCGCCAGCAACCGCGTCGTCAAGGTGTGAGCGTGCGCCCACCTGGCCGTTCGGCTGCGCTCTTGACGGCCTGTGACATTTAGTCTCCTCTGCTGGGCCTCCTGCTGTGTTGCATCCCTCAGAAATCCTTGCGTTGTGTACGGGTCAAGAAACTGCCACCCACCCCCTGCCCTACAGGCCAGCAAGACTACACCTGGCTGGCGCGACTACGTGGAGTACATGAGTGGCATCGTGGTGGACGGATTTGGGGCGGCCATCACAGCCAGCGCCACCTACCTACTGGCACAGATGGACCCAGACCTGGTGGGTCCTGAGGGCCTCTGCAAGCGTGTGACACGGCCGGCACTCAACCTCTGGCGGCTGCACCTATACGAGCGCCATGCATGGTTGCATGCTACGGGGCGGTCTGAACGTGTATTGATTACATGGGACTCGGGCGATGAGCTTATCGCCTCCGTTATTACAGATGTACGACCGCGCATGTCACCTGATTCACCCTTCCCCAAAGATCTCCAAGTCTGGGTGTGGGCCTCTGCTGGAGATCCAGCTGGAGCTGGTGGCGCCAGAAGTCGTGTGGACTCCAGAGCTGGCCAGCAGCGGCGGTGAGGGAGGGGGGGGGCGGCGGGCTAAAGCTTGGGCTCTCTGCGCCGTCGTGCTGTGCCTTGTCTTGTTCCAATCACTTTCAGCGCCCTCTGTTAAAACGCCATTCATTGAGCCTATAGAGGTGTTGTTTTGCCACGCTACCTGCAGGCTCCACCCTAGGGGTGCGTGACCTGGTGACAAGGTGGCTGTCCGGCTTCTTGGGCGTGGGCGCCCTGGTGAAACGGCTGGACACTGGGGAGGGCTCCTATGCCATTGAGCTGGAGGAGGACTACCGCGTGTACGATGCACTGGGCCAGGTGTGGGCCTGTGGCGCAGCCGGAGGGGAGGGGGGCAGCTTGGACGGCCCTAGCAAGCAGACTTCCTGCTGAACCAGGGGCAGCAAGACGCTGCCGCAGCTTGATTCTGGCAGTTGAAGATAGGGGGGTGACATCCTCCAGAGCTTGATTGCTGCCGCAAAGATAACAAACTGTGCGCCAAGCCACAGCAGAAAATCGACTCACTGGAACTGCCTAGAAACACGTTGCACTCAACTTGCCCTGCTCACCTGCCGCAGGTGATGTCGGTCACCCTGGCCAACGAGGCGCGTTGCGAGGAGTTCCGGCAGCAGTTCCTGCGGTTTGACTTCCTCTGGAAGACGGACGCCACCGCCACCCTCAAGGTGGGCATGCTGGATGCCCTGAAGGGTGTGTGCACACGGTCACCGACTGCTCACCATCCCTGCTCAACATGCCGCAACATCCACACAACTTGCTGCTGACTAAACCTTTGGCAGGCGTTTCTGGAGGCAAATGGTACCCAGCAAGCGGATGGCAGCCGTGCTGACCCACCCCTACCCAAGTTTGAGGAGCAGATCCAGAAGTACAAGTGAGGCCTCTTGCTGGTGATGGTTTGGCAGGTTGCGAGCGTATTGCACCTTGTGCCGTGGCATGGCTGAGTTACCCCCCATAAACGTTCCTGTTGCCCCACAATCTCGCAGAGCCATCGGTGCTGAGGTGGCTGCTCTGCCGGGCACTGCCAACCTGGGCTGGATGCGCGTTAGCAGCAAGCCGCTGAAGCAGGCGCTGGCTACATGGGCATCCAAGTGGGTGTACCTCTTCACAAAGTACCTCCAGGACAAGGTGCGCCCCGCCAAGAGGGGTGTGACCGCCACTTGGGGGTTCTGCAGTGTGCATCCATGCATGCATGCACTTGTGCGCGCATGCGCAGTCCCGCATGTGTTTTGAGGGGGGCCAGGGCAGTATGGGTGGGAGTCAGCGAAGGGGATGGGTGTTTGTGATAAGGGCTCGCAGGAGGCTTGTTGCAGTGCCCAGAACGCAGTCACAGCTGAAAACCACCCCCCCCTGCCCAGGTGGTGGGGTCTGTGTCTGAGCTGTACACGTTCATGGACGAAGCCGACACCACCCTAGTGCGCAAGGTGCTTGGGGAGGCTGGCAACAGCGAGGAGGAGGGCGGCGAAGACGAGGCCGAGGCTGCCGCTGATGCAGGTGAGTTTAAATGCTGGGGCTGCCACTCCATTACGCTGCACCACGTCATGCCATCTACGCTCTATCCTGGTGTTTGGTATTGGAGCATGCGGCTGTTCGTTAACGGTCCATGCACTGCGCTTGGCGCACCAACCCCTGTTCTGCAGAGGAGGACGGCGGCGAGGGCAAGCGCGAGCGCGATGCGGACGCGCACCGCCGCGCGCTGTACGACATCATGACCTGCATGAGGGACGTGCGCAAGCGCGCGGAGGTCACGGACGGCATGTTCGACCCGTTGCGGGAGGCGGTGCAGTCGCTGCAGGGCGTCGGCGTGGCGCTGCCAGACGGCGTCCTGCGGCAGGTGAGGAGGGGTGGCTGGGTTGGGGCTGTGAGCATTGGTTTGGGCCGTGGATCTGCTTTGCACCCTCTGCTTTACATTTTTCATCATAATTTAATGGAGTGCATGACCTCAGCGGCCCTTTGGACGTGCTCGGACCCTGCGATTGCCTTCTCCTCAACCCCCCAGCTGGAGACGGCTGAGGTGCGGTGGAAGGGCCTCAAAAAGAAGGTGCTCAATCGCCGCGAGGCGCTGGCAGCGCTGCAGCAGGCTGAGGCGGTGGACGTACGGCGCAAGAGCGACGCCTTCAACGAGCGCGTGGAGGAGTACCGCAAGTGAGGCGCTTGCACGGTCTAGCGGGCAATGACGCGTGATTTGTGTGTGATGTTTTGCTATCTGATTCTCCAACTCAAGCTTTGTTGTCCGGGTTTGTCCTCCCTGGGTTTGTTGGCATCGCTCATGCGCCCATTTTCTGGCCCTCCCTATCGCAGGTTCTTCCTGAAGCGCGCGCCGTTTGCCGTCCAGGGCGGCGGCGAGCTCAAGCTGGAGCACGTGCGGCCCGCTTACCAGGTGCGGGGTATGCGGCGTGGGCGGTCTGGGGCGGGGCAATGCCATGCCTGTTAGCGCAATTGCTTCGGAGGTCAGCCAGCCCTTGTCCTCAACCAGGCAATGTAAATCAGCACTTCCACAAGGCCGCCCACCTGGCAACGGGTGTCCCTGCTGCTGCCTTGCATTGGCGCAGGTGCTGGACGCGTTCCGCCATGGCGGCGTGGACAGCCACCCCTCCGTGATGGCCATCATCTCTGAGAGCAAGCAGCTGCAGGAGTGGCAGGACCTGTTTGAGCTCTACGTGCAGGTGGGGGACGAGGATCAACTTGGGGTATGGTAGATGCCACAGCACAAGGCGTGGGGGCGATCATTTTGCTTGTTATCGTTCTATTGGTGTGTCCTTCTGCCTTCAGATTGGAGCTTGCGGCGTTGCAAGGGTGGTGTTGCATTGCATTTTGTCCTGAGCGGCCCAAACACGTGGTGCCCAGTAACAAAGTGCTGCGTGCGCGCGCCACTTGCCGCAGGACTACCTGCCCTTGACACGCTGCGCAGAGGACCTGGTGCACCTCAAGGCCACTTGGGACACTGTGGCAGCGGTGCTCTACACCTTTGCTGATTGGTGGGTGCTCCACGGCTCTGTTGAATGGGCCGACCACACATTGCCCACAACCTGTCTGGAATGCTCGCTGATACTGGGGCACATAGCATTGTTAGTCAGTCTCCACCAACGGTGGTGTCCGCAGCCCAGAACCTGTCCCTGCTGAGGGCAGCAGGAGGTCTGCCCCTGCGAAACCAAACACCCCTTGCCCGCCCTGCCCCCCAGGTACAAGACCCCCTGGGACAAGATCGACGTGGACTACCTGGTGGAGGAGACCAAGAAGCTCGGCAAGGAGGTCAAGGGACTCAACAAGGCGGTGCGTTGTTGCGGTTCTGGGCTTTAAAGCGAGGGTGACGTGTGGTGAACAGCCACCCGCAAGAAGGCTGCTGGCACGCTTGTCCAAGGCAATTCTTGCAAGCAGCGAACCCGCCGCCCGCCTGGCAGCTGACGGGCAGCTGATGCCGTAACAGTGCACCCCATAATGCCGGTACAAGTGTCTTCTGGCAAACGCGCGCTCTCCTGTAGGTCCGCAACTACGAGGTGTACCGCCTGCTGGAGGAGGCGCTTAAGGCGATGCTCACCAGCCTGCCGCTCGTGCAGGTGGGCAGCATTGAGGGACGAGGTCCTAAAAGAGGGGGGTGATCTTGATCTTGTGAGGGACCATCAGCGAACACTATGCGGTTGATGAGGAAGGACAAAAAGCTGTTGCCGCTTGTTCTCAGGTAGCCATTTCACTCACACTCACCTATGCCGCGCCCGATGTCTTCGCTCCGCAGAACCTGCACCACCCCGCAATGCGCGATCGCCACTGGAAGATGCTGATGCAGGCAACCGGCAAGCAGTTTGTGATGGACGCGCGCTTCTGCCTGGGCGACCTGCTGGCCCTGGAGCTGCACAACTACGTGGACGCGTGCAGCGAGATCGTGGACAGGTGCGGCGGGAGGGTGTGGCGGGCTTCGAGGCTTTGTTGGAAATGCCAGCCCACAGCGGTGGATGCGGGAACTTGCAGGGCTTCAGTGGTGCAAGCATTCATGCGCAGTTTCCTAGCGTCAAAGCTGCCAGTTTGCACAAGACAGGCAACCCTCGTTTTATTGTCTGTAATGCTGAAACTGCACCCTGGCTGCAACCTCCAGGGCCCAGAAGGAGCTCAACATTGAGAAGCAGCTCAAGCGCATCGAGGACACCTGGCGGGGCCTGGCGTTGGTGTTTTCACCCTACCAGGACACAGACATCAACTCCCTGCACGTGAGGGCAAATAGCTCCAGTATATGGGGTTCAGGATGAAAAGGGGTGTGAATGGGGTGTTGGGGGCTGAGGTTGATTCCAACACCGCCGCCCTGTGGACCCCCCCTCGTCTCACCACCACACGGCAGCACGCTGTGTTCTTTAGCGCAGCTGTGACCTCAGCTGTCTGCTGCTGATCTCACAATCCATGCCGCTGGCTCTCCCTCAAAGGTGGACGACGCCATCACCGAGGCGCTGGAGAACGACAACCTCCAGCTGCAGGGCCTGGCCGGCCAGAAATACGTGCAGCTGAACCCAATGTTTGGGGACAGTGTGGCGTCCTGGCAGAAGCGCCTGGGCACGGTGGACGCGGTGCTCAACACGTGGACGGATGTTCAGAAGAAGTGGCAGGCGCTGGAGAGCATCTTTGTGGGATCGGCGGACATCAGGGTGCAGCTGCCAGAGGACTCTAAGCGCTTTGCCGCCGTCAACGCAGACTACCAGGTATAACATGGGCGCAGCCATGGGCATTTAGTTGGGGCTGCTCAGGGCAAGGGCACACGGCGGTGGGGGGCCTGACGCGATCAGGGGCAGTACAGCCTCGTCAAGCGAGGTGGTCACACCTTGCTGAGTGTTCCGCAATAAGCTGGTGCTCCTTGTGGCTGCCTGGTCACACCATGCTTGCTGCTGCCCCCACGCACCCCACCTGCACCCCCAGGACTTGATGCGGTCAGCTCCGGATGTGACCAATGTGCTGGAGGCTGCCAACATGGAGGGGAGGCAGGAGCGCCTGGAGGGCATGCTGGGGCAGCTGGAGTGCTGCGAGAAGGCGCTGCAGGCGAGCTTGACGATGGACAAATGGCATCTGCTCGCGCAGTTGGGGAGTCTGAACCTGCATGTGCTGCCGGTGGCCAGCCTGCTTGTTTCACATGGAGATGTCATCCTACTGATGCCTGACCTGCACGTCCCTGATTTGCCCCTGCACCCTGTCAGGATTACCTGGAGACCAAGCGCATTGCGTTCCCCAGGTTCTACTTTGTGGCCCCAGCGGGTGAGGGACAGTTGACGCCGTCCTGTCTTCCACAGCCTGGTTTGTTGACGAGCCGCCACATGCATGATCACATGATGGCGGCCTGCCGTCTCTACTGTGGAAAGAGTTGCGCTATGGCAGAGCACACCTGGCCTGACGCGTGAACAAACCTGAACCCGCTCTTCTGTCGTGGCCAGACCTGCTGGACATCCTTTCCAAGGGCTCCAACCCCCAGCTTATCCTGCGCCACCTGCCCAAAAACTTTGATAACGTTCACAACCTCTCCTTCAGGTGCGCGTGTGTCTTGTTGGGGACAATCAACAGCCTGGGGCCAGCGAATGTTGACGTGGGAATGGCACCTGGTGGAGCTGACCCCTGTTGATGTGGGCTGCCCAGTGCAGTGCTGCAGGCCGTTAACATCATTCCCTGCCACCTCCCTCCTTCCACAGGCTGGATGAGCGCGGGGAGCCTACCAAGGCCGCCACTGGCATGTACAGCGGCGAGGTGAGGTGCATCCTGGGGGTGTAGCGTGACATGTTCTGGTTTCAGACCCTTGTAGCATCCACTGGCCGTGAAGTCTCTGCTGCTGCGCCAAATTACGCTTTTGCTGCGTGCGCCTGCTCGACTCCACTGATCAACTTGAATCTCTCTCTGCTCTTTGCCCCCTTGAAATGACCCGCACGCAACCAATGGCCACCCCCTCCTCCCCAAAGGGCGAGTATGTGGAGTTTGTGGACGACTGCCTGTGTGACGGCCCAGTGGAGACGTGGCTGCAGCACGTCGTGGACGCCATGAAGGCCGGCCTGGCAGCAGAGTTCAAGAGGTGGGGGTCAAGGGGAGCCTGGGGCCCCTGGTGCACGCTTTAGTAGTGCCGCCAGCACGCGTTGGGCCCTGAAATGGGCCTGACAGGTTGCTGCTTCCCTCCTGGTGCGCAAGTCCTCTCCACCAACAGCCCCCAAACCCACTGCACCATTGCCTCTCAGGGCCATGCCGACGTACGACGAGGTCCCGCGCACCCAGTGGATTCTGCGGTACAGCGCCCAGGCCACCGTGGTGGTGACGCGCACCTTCTTCACGCAGGAGGTCACCGAGGCCTTTGACGAGCTGGAGGAGGGCAACGAGGACGCCCTCAAGAACGAGTACGAGCGCCAGGTGCGCCCGGGCGCGCCTTCGGGTACAGGGCGTGGTGGGCTAGGACCAGTTTATGGGATGATGGCAGGGCACAAACCCTAAATAACTTGACGGTTGTAGTGAAGCCTGCTCGTGTCGTGGTGTTGGAAGAGGGTCGGCTTGAACAGCTTTGCAGCTGGCCTACAACTTTGGTTGCCTTGATACGTTGCGACCGGTGGGACCCTGCGACCTGTCCTGCTGCCCGTGCTGCTCTCCAGGTGACGCAGCTGGCGGGGCTGATCGAGATGATCAACGGCGACCTCACCAAGCTGGACCGCAAGAAGCTCATCACGCTCTGCACCATCGACGTCCACGCGCGCGACGTGGTGCAGCGGCTGATCGACGAGCGCGTGGAGAGCGCGACGGCGTTCCAGTGGCAGAGCCAGCTGCGATACATCGTCAGCGAGAAGACCAAGGCCAGCCAGGTCGGGCAGGCATCCGGGGTCTGGGTCCCGGGTCGGGGCCAAGGCGCGCTCTATTGCTTCCGCCTCAGCAGCTGCCGCTGTGACATTCCTAATCCACTGAAACCCTGCCGATGATGCTGTTCAGGTCAAGGTGCAAAATCCTGCTGCCTCAGTCCCTTCTGCATGCGCAGCTGAATGGCCCACATTCCACAACCGCCACAGGTCAACATCTGCGACGCCGAGATTGCGTACAACCACGAGTACATCGGCAACTGCGGCGCGCTGTGCATCACGCCCCTCACGGACAGGCGCGCGGCCGGGGCGTCAAGAAAATTGGGCAATTTGTGCGGTTGATGAATCAGTCTGCTGTCCTGCATCACACCATCACAGGCAGACTTAGCTCGGTTGCAACTTTACACTTGAGATTTGACTTGTCCCGCGCCTCCTCACCCCCAGGTGCTACATCACACTGACCCAGGCGCAGAGGCTGGTGCTGGGTGGAGCGCCCGCTGGCCCAGCAGGTGTGTGTGTGTGTGTGTGTGTGTGTGTGTGCACGCGCGCGCGCGCGCACGCGCTATCGTGTGCTGTACCTGCACGGTGGATGCATCCAACTACTCTGGGCCTGGAACAATTGCATTTTCGCTTGACACCTTCTTGGGTGCTGTGCGCCAACCCATCCTGCTCACCACTTGCCCAGGCACGGGCAAGACAGAGACCACAAAGGACCTGGCCCGCGCCCTGGGGGTGCAGTGCTATGTCTTCAACTGCAGCGACCAGGTGGGCGCCCTGGGATACCGCATTGGCATGAGACCCCCCCCTCTAATAGCCCTTTTTGTTTCCCCTGCCCCAGGCATCATGGCCTGGGCCCTTACACAATGCCATGAACCATAGCCCTCTGTTTCCTCTCAACCACCAGATGGACTACAAGGCCATGGGCCAGATCTACAAGGGGCTCGCACAGACCGGGGCCTGGGGCTGCTTTGATGAATTCAACCGGTGAGCTCCCATGGCCATGCACAGGGTTCGGGGTGCCTGCAGCCAAACATCAATGGCGTTAGCCGCCTTTGAATTCCCAGCACCTGCCTTGAAAGTTTAGTTATGTAATAAGCACCCTCCTCACCTCCTCTTAATACTCTTCCTCGCCACAGCATCCCCGTGGCGGTGCTGAGTGTGTGCAGCACGCAGTACAAGACGGTGCTCGATGCCCTGCGTGGCCGCAAGGCGCGCTTCATGTTTGAGGAGGTGGAGATCGCCCTGCAGCCCAGCGTGATGGCCTTCATCACCATGAACCCAGGGTACCCCGGCCGTGCAGGTGAGGGTAGCAAAGAGCACAGGAGAACCACGGGGGAAGGGGCGTCAGGAAGTGCAAGGGGGCGGGCTGTCGGCTGCCGAAACTGCCAGCGTTGAATGGTTTGTGTTGCCGCGACGTCGTCGGCATCACCTGCTCTGCCAGCTGCCCACCTCCTCCCCCCTTCCACGCACCATCCGCCCCTTCAGAGCTGCCCGAGTCCCTGAAGACCCTGTTTCGCCCGGTGTCCATGGTGCTGCCCGACCTGGCGCTGATCTGCGAGATCATGCTCATGGCGGAGGGCTTCCAGTCCAGCAAGATGCTGTCCCGCAAGTTCATCATCCTCTACAAGCTGTGCGAGGTGCGCTTGATTATGTTTCACAACACCTGCATGGGGCCGTATTGCTGCTTCTGCTGCCTCACAGCGGCTAGCTGGTTTCACGACGAATTGGGTGCAGCAATGCGCAGGTCAGGCAATTGCAAGTGCGGGCTGCGCAATTGCAAGATTGCATCTTGAGTGCTGGCAGTTCCTCCCCTTCCCCGTCACCTCAGGACCTGCTGTCCAAGAGCAAGCACTACGACTGGAAGCTGCGCGCCATCAAGACCACGCTCTACGTGGCGGGCGGCATGAAGCGGGCCGCACCAGAGCTGACTGAGGACAAGGTCAGGGCGCAGGGGGCCCTGGGACAACGGGGGGGGGGGGTGGGGTTACGGGGGACATGCCAAACGCCACGCTTGTCGTGCCCAAAATAGTGTTCACGCACAGGAATGACGAGTTCCGAATCTCGCGCTTGTGGGAGCTTCTTTTGCATGCCACCTGCGCGGCCCGGGCACGTCTTGTCCGCGCCCTGCTCGCAACCGTGGTTCTCCCGTCGCCACAACACAGGTGCTGCTGCGCGCGCTGCGCGACTTCAACCTGGGCAAGCTGACTAGCGACGACACCTCCATCTTTGTGGGCCTGCTCAACGACCTGTTCCCCAAAACCCTGGAGCTGGTGCCACGTGCCAGGGAGGTGGACTTCGAGGCCAGGGTGCGGGCCTGGAGAGGGGTGTGTTGGCGGGGGCAAAGGCAGGGGGCAGGCGCACACCTTGCAGCTGTTGGGCGTGGCAGGCAGCCACCCCATATACCCAGACTCCTTGCAGAGGGACACGTTGCGAGTACACCTAAATGCCTGCAACCAGCACCCGCCCTTTTATCCCTCAACACCAGATCCATGATGCGGCGCTGGAGCTGGGCTACCAGCCCGATGAGACCTTCTGCCTCAAGATCGGGCAGCTCAGGGAGCTGGTGAGAGGGCGCGGCACCATGGAATGTTGGGTGCAAGGGTGTGTTACAGGAAACCTGGGCCCAAGACGATCTTTTGGATCAACTTGGCTGGTCTTTGTTTACATGCGCTGCTGCTCCCTGCCGACCACACGCCTGATGCCCTCCTGCACCCGCTTGGCCCAGTTTGTGGTGCGCTGGTCGGTGTTCCTGCTGGGCCCCGCTGGCTGCGGCAAGAGTGCCATCTGGCGCACCCTGATGAAGGCCCAGAACAATGCCGGGGAGAAGACCGTGTACCGCCCCATCAACCCCAAGGCCGTCACGCGCAATGAGCTCTACGGGTACCTGCACCCTCAGGTGGGGTCTAGGCTGGCAGTACCCTGTGTTGTGCCTGACGACTGAGGACTGACGAGCGGGTGTGGCCGCCGCTCTGGTAGGATTCCACACAGGCTGGCACCGTGCTCAGGCCTTTAAAAAGTAAGGAACAATGCTTGCCTCGTTTCCATCACACCTGCAGACCCGCGAGTGGAAAGAGGGCCTGGTGTCCGTCACATTCCGTGACTTTAGCAACAACGCCACCAACAAGCACCAGTGGATCGTGCTGGACGGCGACATCGACGCGGGTGGGCGCAGGCCTCCTTGTGGTACCCTGGGCGCACCCGACACACTCACGTTGGACCAGCTGGTGCTGGCCGCAATCTCTCCTCCACATTAATATCTGCCCACGCCGCCGCGCCAGACCTGTGATCCCATGCTCCCTGCCGCCGCCTCACGCCCACAACCCCCACCCATCTGCAGAGTGGATCGAGAGCATGAACACCGTAATGGATGACAACAAGATGCTGACCCTGGCCTCCAACGAGCGCATCCCCCTGACGCCCTCCATGCGGCTGCTGCTGGAGATCAACCACATGAACCACTGCAGTCCTGCCACCGTCAGCCGCGGGGGTGTCATCTTTGTCAACGCCGATGATGTTGGGTGGAAGCCCGTGGTGGACTCATGGATTGAGAGGCTCGAGGTGAGCAGGCTTCAGGGCTGAGGTGGCCAGACGTCCCAGGTTGGCGTTGCGAGTGTCTTTTCTTGCTTCGGACAGGAAACGTGGATTGAAGCTGGTGCACAGATCAGGCACGACTTGGTCCAAGTGTCACCAGTGTGTTGTGCAGACAATCATGTGACAGTTGTTATGCTGCCATCGAGTTGTCTGAACATTATTGCCTCTTCAACAACCCTGTTCATCTGTTTGACCATGCGGCAGGCTGCCGAGTACCGCCCGCTGCTGACAACGCTGTTCAGCCGCTATGTGGACCCCTGCCTGGAGTACTGCCGGCGCAACTTCAAGACAGTGGTGCCCCTGCCGGCTGTCAACCAGGTGGGGCGGGCAGCAGGGCCAGGGGTGGCAGAAGGAGCAGCAAGGGCAGATGCGCGTTGTAGAGTGGCCCGGACAGCGACTGGCAGACCGCATGAAAATGCCACTCTGCGCCTGTGCCTCTGTGACACATCCCGCCACCTGCGTAGTGAGCGAGCCCCGTTTGACATCCTTAGCCTGAGAACCCCGTACCTGCCTCACCCCAACCCCACCCCCACCCCAGGTGATGACCATCTGCAAGATCCTGGAGGGCATCCTGCCCAAGGAGAGCGTGAGGGGTGCCCCGCCCCCCGACAAGAAGCTGCTGGAGTACCACTTTGTGTTCGCGTGCATCTGGGCCTTTGGCGGCTGCATGATGGTCGACAAGGTGGGCCTTCAGGGATGGAAGCGCAGGGGAGCGAACACACCACCAAGCAAATTGGTGGCGACAGCCTTTGGGGACAAAGGAGGCCCCTGCATAGTCCACCCACTGCCATGAACGCAGTTTGCTGAGTGCAGCGGCCTGACCTGTGTCCCAGTCTGGCCGTTTGGCCCAAGCTGGTAGGCATCCTCACCCGCATGCCACACCCCTCTCCGCCCAGGTGACCGACCACCGCGCCGCGTTCAGCAAGTGGTGGGTGTCCGAGTGGAAGGGCGTGCAGTTCCCTGAGAAGGGCAGCGTGTACGACTATTACGTGGACCCCGACACCTGCCTCATGGTGCCGTGGGACGAGCGCGTGCCCAAGTTCAGCTACGCGGCAGCCGGCGGGGCCGGCAGCAGCGTGCGGGGGCCCATGTTTGTGCCTACGGTCGAGACTGCGCGGCTGACCTACTTCCTGGACAGCCTCATGGCCAACAGGTAGGAAGGGGGCGCACGCCAGCTGATGCACTGTGTGGTTGCAGCAACTGACGGTGTGCATCGTTTGGGTGCGTTTCTAGGGCATTGCTGCGTGAAGTGTGGCTGCAACCTCGAGCAAACAACGGCTACGTTCAGTTAACCACCGCAAGTAAACCATCTCTCAGGCACTACGTGATGTTTGTCGGCAACACGGGCACGGGCAAGACGGCCGTGCTGATGAACAAGCTGCGCGGCCTGGACCCTGAGGCGGTAGCGGCCTGCGTCATCAACATGAACTCCTTCAGCGACGCGCCCAGCCTGCAGCTGCAGATGGAGCAGCCGCTGGAGAAGAAGAGCGGCGTGCGCTACGGGCCACCTGGGTCGCGCAGGTGGCTGGCCACTGGCTGGAGCCAAGCTGAGGGGGGTCCACTGGCAAAGGCTTTGCTGCCCAGGGCCCCACTGGCAAAGGATTTGCTGCCCGGGGCCCCACTCTGACGCCCTCGCACCTTTCTTGGTCTGTGAGTTGGTAACCCTATTCATTGGCATCTTCAGTCAGCGTCTTCATTGGTGGACACCTGCCCTCCCCACCCTCCACCATGCTGCCCTCCTCTCCACCCTCACCCCCCCAAAAGACTCGTGTACTTCATTGACGACCTCAACATGCCCTACGTCGACAAGTACGACACACAGTCTGCCATTGAGCTGGCCCGGCAGATGGTCGACTACAGGGGATGGTGGGTTCTGGGGTTTGCTGTGAGGATGCCGCCCCCGGTTGCTGGGGTTTGCTGGCAGGCCTGGAACGGCCGAGGTCCCTGGAAAGAATATGCTACAGCCCCATCATAATGCCTTTTTGTGTGCTTGCCACCAACGTAGCTGCCCAATGAATGGACAACCGCCCTACACAGGTTTGACAAGCAGAAGATACTGCTCAAGGAGATCCAGAACTGCCAGTACGCCGCGGCCATGAACCCCACCGCCGGCAGCTTCAACATCACGCCACGCATGCAGCGCCACTTCGTCACGTTTGCCGTCCAGGTGCGCGGCCTGACAGGGCCTGCATGCGTCGTCGTGGCTCACGTCTGCGCTGATGTCGCCCTTACCCTGGATTCCCACCTCAGTGCTGCCGCACATTCCGCTGCCCCAGGGCCATGTTCCAGCTCCAACCAGCTCGCATGTGCCTTTTCTAACCCACATGAACACGCACACTGTCTCGCTACGCATACTCTTGCAGATGCCCAACGCGGACATCGTGCGCTCCATCTACTCTGCCATAGTGGAGGGCCACGTGCAGGGTGCGGGGCTGGACGAGAGCGTGGTGCGGCTGGCGCCAAAGCTGGTGGACGCGACCATCGAGCTGCACCGCATGGTGGGTTGAGGAGTCCAGCTGTGTTTAGGTTGCTGATTGCATGCAGATGACAATTCGGCTTGACTGACGGCCTGTGTGGCGCCGCTCTTCCTTCCTGGATGTCTCAATCCTGACAAAGTCCTGAAAATCCTGCACCTCTCAACACCGCAGGTGATGCACAACTTCCTGCCCAGCGCAGTGAAGTTCCACTACCAGTTCAACCTGCGTGAGATGTCCAACGTGGTCGGTGGCCTGTGCCGCATGACTAAGGATGTCTACAAGGAGCCCGTCAGGGTGGGTGCCCTGGGAGGGGTCAACCAGCCGGTGTATAAGTGATAGAAGGCCAGAAACCCGCCCGGCGTGCCCACCTTCCTAATTGGGGTGCCAACCTCCATACTTGGCAGTAGCAACATGATTATCATCATCACCAGCAGCAGCATGGGCAGCAGCAGCTGCAGAAGCCTCTGCAGCTGAACCAGCAGGTGTAGCCACACACCCTCTCCATCCTACCCACAAACGCCCGCCCAGGCTGTGCGGCTGTGGATCCACGAGTGCGAGCGCGTGTTCCGTGACCGCCTGGTGTCAGACGCTGACGCGGCCAAGTTCGATGAGTTCAGGGCCGCGGCCACGAGGAAGTACTTTGAGGAGCTGCCTGGCGGCATGGCGGCGCTGGAGGAGAGGCCGCTGCTCTTCACCAGCTTTGTGCAGGCACGCTCATCTTGCAGAACACAGGGTGCAGCCTCAGGATACATGGTGCTGCGGCGGGGGCCATGCATTGCAATACGCTTATCCTGGTTCACAATGGCGTGACGCACTGGACCCTACACACTGAAATGTGTTGGTCCGCGGACGCCTGACCAACCCTGATTCCCAATCCTTTGGTTGCGCAGCCATCGGAAGACGTGGCGAACTACACCCCTGTGACGTCATACGACGCGCTGCGCAAGGTGTTGGACGACAAGCTGGCAGAGTATAATGACACTAACACGGTGAGTATTGCAGCACGGGGAGGGGGCGAATGGGGTGGTGGAGCAGGGGCCGATGATGGCATGGGAAAGGCATAGCTGCAGGCAAAGATCAAATCGGTCAGATCTTGCTGCATGTAGCTGATGCTGTGGGCTATGGGCTGCGCCTTGCACAATGTGCAGACACCGCACAACTGTACCACCTGTGACCCTCCTCGCCGTCTGCGGCGTTCTCCCAGGTGATGGATCTGGTGCTGTTCCAGCAGGCCATGGAGCACGTCACACGCATAGCTCGCATCATGGACCTGCCACGGTGGGCGTGCTTTGCCCGCCTAGACTTGCCAACAGCTTTGAATGGCGCCCTGAAACGAGCAGTCCCTGGGATCTCAAGGACTCTGCGCCGTTGTTGACTTTGGTATGAACGCTAATCCGCCCCTCCCCTGACCCGCCTGCCCTTGAACTCAGCGGCAACGCCATGCTGGTTGGTGTGGGTGGAAGCGGCAAGCAGAGCCTGGCGCGCCTCGCCGCCCACATCTGCGGCTATGATGTATTCCAGATCGCTGTGAGCAGCAACTACGGCGTCGCTGACTTCAAGGAGGCACTGCTGGGGCTGTACACCAAGACAGGAGCCAAGGTGCTGCGGGGACCAGGGGATCGACGGGCGTGAACATGACCCAAACAGCAGGACGCTGGCTGGCGGTGTGCTGTTCACCATTTCACCCCAGTCGCCCATACCCTCACACGCCGCACCCCTGCATCAACCCACCAGGGCATCCCCACGATGTTCCTGATGACAGACAACCAGATTGTCAAGGAGCAGTTCCTGGTGTACATCAACGACCTGCTCAGCACGGGAGTTGTCAGCGACCTCTTCACACAGGTCAGAGCTGTACCTGAGCAGTGGTGGCTGTTCTTTTTCGCCCCTTGTGCAGCCCGGCCTGCATGTCGCCCCCATGCTTGATTGTCACATCCTGAGAACCCTGCCACAGGTGGCATACTCACTTCCACGTGTGACCGCCCAATGGCGTCCCCATCACAGGAGGACAAAGAGGGCTTCTGCAATGCCGTGCGCAGCGAGGTCAAGGCCAGCGGACTGCTGGACACCCCTGAAGCGTGCTGGGACTTCTTCATCGCCAAGACGCGCCGCCTGCTGCACGTGGTGCTGTGCTTCAGCCCCGTGGGGGACAAGTTCAGAGTGCGGGCTAGGCAGTTCCCGGCCCTCGTCAACTGCACACAGGTTTGTGGCGAGTAAAGTGATGTGCCCAAAAGGTTTTGACGAGTGTGTGCTGCTTGTGTTGCTGGTTGAAACTGGATGATCTAGGCAGGTGGCTGGCCAGGTATGCAGGTGGATCTTACTGTTGTGGGCCGGCAATGTGCCCATCAACAGTCAAAGCACAGCAGCCCCACACTCCAGAAGCACACTGTTGTCAACACCCTGCTTCCCATCAATTCGGCACCTCCCATCTGTTTCAGTTCGACTGGTTCCACGGCTGGCCCCTGGAGGCACTGGTGTCTGTTGCCCATCGTTTCCTGGCCGGGATCCCTGACGTTGACGAGGGCGTCAGGGACCAACTGGGACAGCACATGGCCCATGCACACACATGCGTCAGGTGCGATGAACATGAGTGCTCACTGATGAGACAAAGAAGTAGCTGCAGGTCTGCCTGCAGGGCTGACGCGTGTCAGGCCTGGGCTGCCTTTCACCTGCAGCCCGTGTTTGACTAGAACTCACACCCAAGATACCCCACCCTGCCAAACCCCTGACAGTGAGGCGAGTGCGGCCTACCTGGAGTCTTACCGCCGCTACAACTACACCACTCCGAAGTCCTACCTGGAGCTCATCAGCCTCTACAAAGACCTGCTGGCCCGCAAGAGGAGGGTGAGCGCCCCGCAATTGGGTGTTGATGGCGGCACAATGACAAACCCTCCTGGTTTTGCCCGCCCTGCTGGCAGTGCAGACGGTTCTAACCCTTGACTTCATTACTTGGACCGCAGGAATTGCGAGCGGCAATTGAGCGGCTGCAGAGCGGTGTTGAGAAGATCGCCCAGGCCAGTGCCCAAGTGGCGGACCTGCAGGCCAACCTCAAGCAAGAGCAGGTGCAGCCTGCGCACACCCCGCTGGGCGTGGTTTTGCCTATTTTGCCGCCATCGTTCAACTCTCAAGGCAATTTGTTCTTTTGCAGGTCCAATGAGTTACCATCGCCACCAGCACCGTTTTCAACTGCCTCACCTATCCCCCACTCATACTTCGCATCCAATACCGCAGATCATTGTTGAGGAGAAGAAGGCAGCTACTGACGCGCTGATTGTGAGCATCGGTCGCGAGAAGGCAGTGGTTGATGAGGCGGTGGAGGCCGGACGCGGCGACGAGGAGGCTGCTGCAGCACTGCAGGTGCGCTGGCAAGCAGGGTAGGGATGAGAGGCAGGCTTTGCGGGCTGTTCAACTGGGTTGTGAAGCATGCTGTATCTGCGCTGCTTTTTTGCCGCAAAAGCCTCGTACACCTTAGAATGGTGTGTCTCTAACAGCAATCCTGTCGCCCATCAAACCCATAACCCCCAGTCCGAGGTCCAAAATTTCCAGGAAGAGTGTAGCCGTGATCTCATGGTGGCAGAGCCCGTCATTGCGGAAGCGGAGGCAGCTCTGAACAGGTGGGCGCGGGAGGCTTCTCTGCAGCAGGGCGGAGGTGTACGCGCCTTCATACACACATCGCCCTCATTGATCCGCTTGCAGGCTTACCAACTCACACCTTCATAATGTGTCTGTCCTTGCAGCCTGGACAAGGCCAGCTTGGGGGAGCTCAAGAGCTTTGGATCGCCCGCAGCAGAAGTTGTGCAGGTGTGACGCTGTCTCTGCTGTGGTGATAGCGACGGGTGCAAGCACGAGGTCTCCTTGCGTGTGGGCTGTATGTTTCCAGATGATGACGCTTGCGTTGACAAGTGTTTCTACCTTGCTCGCCTCCCATGCATCCCTACCCACCGCCTCTCCACCACTCCTGCACCCTTCAGGTCGTGGCTGCGTGCATGGTCCTGACTGCCCCGGGCGGCAAGATCCCCAAGGACCTGTCGTGGGCCGCGGGCAAGAAGTTCATGGGCAACGTGGACGCCTTCCTCAAGAGCCTCCTGTCTTTCGACAAGGACAACGTCCCCGTGGTGTGCGTCGACACCGTGGAGCGCGACTTCATCAGCAACCCGGGCTTCAAGGCGGAGAACATCAAGAGCAAGAGCAGCGCGGCAGCGGGGCTGTGCGGCTGGGTGCTCAACATCTGCAAGTACTTCAGGATCTACCAGGTGGGGGCTGAGGCCTTAGGTTTGGGCAGAGGCAATACAGTGCTGGCTTTGACAGGCCTGCACTTGGCCGTGAGCTGGTGGGCATGAGAGGAGTATTGATTGCCTGTGCTGTGGGCATGGCCTGTTGCTCCATGGACCCCTTTGAAAAACGCTGTCCCCTCGCCCAGGTCGTCGCCCCCAAACGCGCGGCCCTGGCCGAAGCCAACCGCAAGCTGGAGGGAGCCAACAAGAAGCTGGCGGGTATCCGGGCCAAGGTGAAGGAGCTCCAAGACCGTGTGGCGACGCTGGAGGCCGGGCTCATGAAGGCCACAGAGGACAAGAACAACGCCATCGCACAGGTGGGGGGAACGAAACCGTGGCCGGTTCGGGCCAGATTGTCAGTTAACTGTAGCGGAACGTCTCGCTACAAGCGACACAAGTATTTGTGGATCTCCAGGCAGTGATGCTTGCGGCTAGCTTTATGCTGTGGTCGTGGTCCACATGCCTCCCTCCCCTCATGGCACATCTAGGCCGAGCGCACGAGCCGCAAAGCTGGGCTGGCTGACCGGCTGGTGAACGGCCTGAGCGGAGAGAACAAACGCTGGAGCGAGACCATCCGGAAGTTGGAGGGGCAGGAGGGCATGCTGGTGGGCGACGTGCTGCTGGCGGCCGCGTTTGTGTCGTATGCGGGCCCCTTCAACATGGCCTTCAGGAAGCAGCTGGTGGACGAGCGCTGGCTGCCAGACATCGTGACGCGTGGTATTCCCCTCAGCGCCGGTGGGTGGAGCCAAGGGACTTCCCAGGGCTGAGCCGGCCGGTAAAGCAAGGGTTTTAGTGCAGGCCCAAGCATTTCCCTAGCCTCGTCCAGCCACACATGCGCCCACGATGACCGTGCAGCTTTTTCAACTCAAACTTCCCACCTTCCCCGCGACCCTTGCCTTGGCCCTGCGAAGGCATCAAGCCGCTGGACATGCTGACTGACGACAGCACCAAGGCCAAGTGGGCGCAAGAGGGCCTGCCCACCGACCCCCTGAGCATTGAGAACGGCGCCATCATGACCAACGCGGCGCGCTGGAGCCTCATGATAGACCCCCAGCTGCAGGTGGGGCGTGGCGACGAGAGCTGTGACCTGCCTCCAGGACAAGGGCCTGAGATACAAGGGCAAAGCGGCAAACACGAGTTTCTTGCCAAACTCTGTAAAAAATGGTAGCATATTCCGCAACCATGAATATCTGGCCTGCAGCGCTTGACCGTTTGCTTGCAACTTGACCTGTCTCTATCCCCTGAGCCCTGTGTGGGAAACTTTTGCTAACATGGGCATCGTGTTGACCCCAGGGCATTCAATGGATCAAGTCGCGTGAGGCCACCAGCGGCCTGGTGATCCTGCAGCAGAGCCAGCCCAAGTATGTGGACAAGGTGCTGCAGTGCATCGAACAGGTGAGGGTGGCACGAACGGGGTGGGAGGTGGCTGGGCACATTGGTGACGACCTCACACCTGCAACAATCCAAAGCCCCAATCGCAATTGCTTTGTAGGCATGGAAGCAAGCGTGTGCATGCACACACACGCGCACACACACGTTCACAAACGTTGCACGCCAGGGTCTCCCACTCCTGCTTGAGAACCTGCCCACGGAGCTTGATGCGGTGCTGGACCCGGTGCTGGGCAAGCGCACCGTCAAGAGGGGCCGCGCCATGGTCATGAGGATTGGGGACGCAGAGGTTGAGTACGATTCCCAGTTCAGGTGGGCACACAGCATCTGGTTGTGGGGCTACTATGGCCCCAGTAAGGAGGTATTTGGGCGGACCAGCAAAGCGGCATAATTGCCACTTGGCAGGTTACAACCAGCTGAGTGCCCAACATTGCCTGCTGAAAATTGCTCAAGATGCAGCCCCTTGCCGCCCTTACTCCAACCTCCCCAGGCTGTACCTCCAGACCAAGCTGTCCAACCCGCACTACAAGCCTGAGATTGCGGCACAGTGTACCCTCGTCAACTTCTGCGTCACTGAAAAGGTGGGCTGTTTACATGGAGGAAACGGTGGTGCAAAAGCGATGTGTGTAGCAGAGGTTGCAGCAACAGGCTCCATTGACGGCAAGCATAGGCATGCAACTGTTGGGCGGTCGCGATGCCCCACCCCATTGCATCATCCAACCCTGCGCCCCCCTATCGGGTGGATTTGCCGCCCCCAGGGCCTGGAGGACCAGCTGCTGGCGCAGGTGGTCAACCACGAGCGCCCCGATCTGCAGGAGCAGGCCGCTGCACTGGTGTCGCAGCTGGGGCAGTATACCATCACGCTCAAGGAGCTGGAGGACTCCCTGCTGGCCCGGCTGGCAAACGCACAGGTGCGTTGTGAAGGGGCGGCCTACGATTAAAGTGAAGGTGGGATCGCTGGTCTGTGTGTGGCCATTTCTTAGAGAGCTGATGTGGTTGCGCGTGCAACGCCACATCTGAATCAGCACCCACCATAATGTCACAATCCTTCCCCCGTCATCGCACGCACCATCAGTGTCCAAGGTAGGTGACATGCAATTCAAATGCCCAAACTCCCCCCTTTGACCCCAGGGTGACATCCTGGAGGACATTGAGCTGATTGAGAACCTGGAGGAGACCAAGCGCACCGCCCTGGACATAGAGGACAAGGTGCGCCAGGCGCGCTCCACAGAGGCCTCCATATCCAAGGCACGCGAGGTGTACCGCCCCGTGGCGGCGCGCGGCAGCCTGGTCTTCTTCCTGATCGACGGCCTCAACGCGCTGGACAGGTGGGGGACGCAGGGTGGTGTGGGGTAGGACCGGGGCTGGGGGGCACCATGGTGGCCCTTTTGACGGGACAGCTTACCGTTGTGCCACATCAACCGATGGTGTTTATCTATGTCGTCTGTATATATGCGTGACAAGAGGGTGTGTGCTTCGGGGCAGTGCCCGTGTGTACGCGTTAGTGAGCGGGAAACAGAGGGACAGAGGGGCGGGGAGAGACCTGCATCAGTAACCTGCAAAACTTCCGCCTATGAAAAGTGCTCGCTCAACTCATCTCAACAACCTCCAACATTGCGCCCCAGGGTGTACCACTACTCCATGGCCAACTTTGTCTACGTGCTGGTCAAGGGCATGGACACCACCCCGGGCGGCGCCGACGAGAGCCTGGTGCCCAAGGACCAGCGGCTCGGCCAGGCGGTGGACCTGGAGCAGCGCGTGCAGCTCCTGGTGGGTGCGGGGCCCCTGCCACCCGGCCCTCATCTGGGGCGCAACAGCATGCCTTTTTGTTGGCGGGGCAAACTATGACCTGTTGCCATGAGCTCGCATGGTCTGCTGGTGGCGCTGCATGCTGCAGGGACATGCGACACGCACCTTTTGCTCACATCTACGCAATAACCGCTGCGGCCCCAACCCCCAGGTTGACGGCACCTGCCAAGCTGTGTTCAACTACGTGGCCCAGGGCCTGTTTGAGCGCCACAAGCTGATCGTGTCGACGCAGCTGTGCATGTCGGTGCTCAGGGCTCGTGGGGAGCTGCAGCGCGCAAAGTTTGACATGCTGCTGCGCGGGCAAAAGGTGTGGACGTGGGGGGGGGGGGCAGCGGGCTGCACAGCTGGCTATATGGGCCATGACTAACACACCTGCGCCCAGTGCACTGCCGTGCCCTTGATGTAGGGGTCTCTGTGCACTTGCCCCCATCAAACACCCCAATCCGCACGCTACGTCGTCATTCCAAACCAGGTAATGGGTGTTGACAACCCCCTGAGCGACTGGGTGCCTGAGAGTGTGTGGGGCAGCGTCCAGGCCCTGCGTGAGCTGGAGGACTACGCCAACCTGCCAGACGACCTGGTGGGCTCAAGCAAGAGGTGGCGCGAGTGGATGGAGCTGGAGAGGCCAGGTGAGAGGGGCAGGGGCGTGTCGGCCTTGCGGCAGGACGGCGCAGCGGCTGGGCCCAGGTGCACACGCAGCCCGTGTCGCGCTTGCGTTCTTTGGATTCCATGCTGCAAACCAGGCCCTCGTGTCACCTCCCTGATCACTGCAACCCCGCACACAACCCCCCCAGAGGACGAGCCCCTGCCGGGCGACTGGAAGCGCATGCCCGAGTTTGAGCGCCTGCTGCTGTTCCGCGCGCTGCGCCCTGACCGGCTGACAGCCGCCATGAAGAAGTTCGTCACAAATGTCATCGGCGCTAAGTGAGCAAGCAGAGCCAGGGCAGCAAGACAAGCAGAGGGTGGAAAGGCTGCTTGTGCTGAGGCTCTGAGGCAGCTTGGGTTTTATGCAGATGTGAGCGCAGGATGAGCCTCCTGTTCCTGCCCCCCCCCCCCAAAACACCCCTCAAAACCTCCATAACAATATCGATTTTCCCACCCCATCTCAAAGGTATGTTGTGAGCCAGCCGTACGACCTGGCGCGCAGCTTTGCGGACTCCTCACCCGGGACACCCATCCTGGCCCTGCTCTCACCCGGCGTCGATGTGGTGGGTGGTCCCTGAGGTCCTGCCGGCATCCTGGCACCCAGCAGCGCCCAGGAGTCCCAGGGTCCAAACCGCGCGCATCCTGGCAGCTGCGACCACGACGGCATTGTTAAGGCGTATGAACTCCACCCCTTTCCCCGCGCGCCCGCCCACCCTGCTGTGGGCCCTCCCACACCACCGCCCCCAACAGGCCGCGAGTGTGGAGGCCCTGGGCGCCAAGCTGGGCTTCACGGCCGAGGCCGGCAAGTACTACGCGGTGTCCCTGGGCCAGGGCCAGGAGCCCATTGCCATGAACGCCCTGGCCGCGGCCCACAAGGGTGGCGGCTGGGTGCTGCTGCAGAACGTGCACCTCACCATCGAGTGGACCAGCGGGCCCCTGGAGAAGAAGGTGGACAAGCTCGCCGAGGGCGCACACCCAGACTTCAGGTGGGGCGGGGTGGGTGGGAG